GTGTACTGATAATTGGTTTGAGAAGAGTGAACACGACTACGTCTTTCCTGCCCTTTTTTCCCCTCTTAACGTGGGCGTTCTCGAAGTACATCTACGAAACCACCATGCCAGAGCAAGACCTTAAGCCTCGTCTTTTTCATATATTCCTGTGAAGCTCGCGAAAGATAGTGCCGAGTCACAGTGTCAGTGTACTTCCCTCTGGGGATCATCACCCTCGCCGCGTACTTCCTCCCCAGAAAGAAACCCACCAAGTTATCGTCGATCACTTGCTCAAAAGCGCTCTTCTTCGAGTTCCCTATGCTGGATTCCTACCCGTCTATTATTCCGGCATCAATATATTTAATTCTTTTGTGTCATTTCATATAGTCGATTGAGAAATCCACCCTCTCTTACATATATATAGGGCTATCAGCGTTGTGTTTTCTTAACTGGACTCGAACAAATGGCTTGTGGACATCTATTTGACAGCGAAGAGTTGCCTAACACACACACACCACTTGCCAGTGAAATTTTTAAAGCAGGGCAAAACACTCTTTCTCTGTTTTTTTCTGGTAAACATATAATGGCAAATTATTTTCTGCCAATGAAATAATAGCTGCGATTATTTCATCGCATCAAGTATCCTCGATATTACGCTATGTCGATATCAAAACTTCAATAGCCTTTTGTGAGGATCCGTCTCCTCCACCTCAACGAAAAAGCGAATGTTGATGAGGGATAGTTAGTTACTCTGTTGTTTGTAATGGCTGTTTTGAATTTATGATATAAGTTTTCTATTAAAAAAGGGTCCGTTTCCTTCCATAATTTAAAGGAAAGAAATGGAGTTTCATTTCAACCTCCTTTAATTGCAAAACTCATAAAGCATGCAGCATCCATTATTTCTGAAATATGCGTAGCTTTGAACTTTGAACATTATGTTGATGTATTCAGTTAACTGGGTGGAATGAATTGAACAGTCAGTCATATTATTTACCAACTTGTAAAAATTTATATTTATATAAAATGAGATGTTATTCGGGGGAACATATGCCCAAAAGTTAAAGCTTGCTTTCTCAATCCTATTATTTTCTCAGTGTTTAATGATTCAACTTATCATTAGTGTTCAAATAATTAAATGGTGGATGGAATTAGAGATATAATAATTAAATCAAAATAATATTATATGCAAACATAATACTACATGTATAAAGAATAAAATATTAATATGATTATAATTATAAATAAAAGAAAATAAAAGTTTTTGCCTTGTAAAAAAGTTATTATTATAATAATAAAATAAATTTCCCAAGTTGTTTTCTCCGAATTTTTTGTAAATTTGATTGTCATTTGATAGAAGAAAATGACGCAATCTGTTGGGATTTTTTTTTGTCTTCTTTTTTCTTCATCTTGTTTGTGCATTCGAACGTGGTTTTTTTTTTTTTGGCCAAACCATTCGAACGTGGTTCAAACTTCATCTTTTGATTTTTGAGTCCGAAAAAAAAAACCTTCATCTTTTGATTTCGTCGCTAATTTGTTTTCATTATTTTTATTGTTCTTAGAGGGAAAATCATAAAGGGTAGGCACTGGGCTTTTTTGCTGGTGCTTCATCCTCCTCGTCCGTTGGGGCCTTTTTGTCATAATTTTTCCTATGATGAATTACGTATTTTGTTTTCTTTTTCTCCATAAACGTGAAAAATGTTCGCCCACTGATTTTCGGGGCCAATCCACAGACTTCATCCAAGGCATGTGAAGCTGATTAGCTGAGTAGGAGAGAGAGAGAGAGAACTGACGTTGGAAAGGTTATGGAAAAAATCTAGAACCCTCTCGTGTGCAATCCAAATAGAGTAAAGACGCTGTTTCAGCCTCCTGGAGAGTGAAAGATGTATTTCTTTAATGACTAAAATGGAGTAAAGATGTCTAGGTTCAATTAGTATTATGCAATCAATTGTGCCCACTGGGCTGAACCATTCCGATAAAGCCAGAGACAACGGAGAAGAAACCCGGCAAGGCATGGCGCTTGTAACTAGTCAAACTGTCAACGATGGGCCTTTGTTCGCCGAGGTTGATATGGGCTCCGATAACAACGCCACTACTGTCCGAGCCACGGTGGTTCAGGCCTCCACCATCTTCTACGATACCCCCGCCACTTTAGGTCCTGCTTCCTCCTCATTCTCCTTGTTCTTCAAATGAGTTGTGTCACTGATTGACCCGGATTCTCATGGTTTCAAATTGTTTGACTCCGAGAAATCCCTGTACTCTTTTCTTTCTTTTACTGATAAATCGATTTTTTTTGTCTGTTTTCAGTAAAAATGATCCTTTGGGTGCTTGGAATTGTTTCAAGTGAATTGAATGTGTTGTGTGATCTGTACATGTCTGGAGTTATTGCTTCCTCCTTGAACTATACTGCTGTTTGTTGAAATGCCGATGTTATATTGCGGGGGAATGGTATTTTATTTTTTAATCGCTCATGATTGCTCGACGCTTAAGCAGATAAGGCCGAGAGGTTGTTGGCTGAAGCCGCGAGCCACGGATCCCAGCTGGTTGTGTTTCCAGAAGCGTTTGTGGGTGGCTATCCCCGTGGTTCCAACTTCGGTGTTTCTATTGGAAATCGGACAGCTAAGGGTAAAGAGGAGTTCCGCAAGTATCATGCTGCAGCCATTGATGTGCCAGGTAAAGACTTATGACTGGCTGATAGTATTTGCTGGTACAAATTCTGTGAAGCTCGTAAAAGATAGATCTGACTGTGACTCACAGTGTCAGGGTATATGTTTTCTGGAGCTTTAGTAGTATTTTATATATTCACTGCTAATCAAGGTAATGTTGAAGTTTGGTTGATAATTAATATGGATAAGATTATTAAGGATATTTCTTGGTTAGTTATTTAGTCTCCAACTAGAAACAGCGAATAGAATCAATTTATTATCGTTACTTTCTTTAGTCTGGGTATAGTTTTATACATTGAATTGGGATCAATGGAACTCTAGGCATAACTTTTTACTAGCTTGTATGATGTTGCTGTAGGTCCTGAAGTTGATAGATTGGCGGCAATGGCCGGGAAGTATAAGGTGTATTTGGTAATAGGTGTTATAGAGAGAGATGGCTACACACTGTATTGCACTGTTCTCTTCTTTGATTCTCAAGGTCGTTACCTCGGAAAGCACAGGAAAGTTATGCCGACTGCGCTGGAACGGATTATCTGGGGATTTGGGGATGGATCAACCATCCCAGTTTTTGAAACTCCCATTGGAAAAATAGGTGCTGCCATTTGCTGGGAGAACAAAATGCCTCTTTTGAGGACAGCAATGTATGCAAAAGGTAGACATTTTTCTGTTAAATTCTATTGTGTCCGAGAAGATAACCTGGAATAGGAAATATCAGGATACCAAACACTATGATGCACGACCAACAGTAAATATGACCGAGCCATTATAACTTACATGACTTGTTTTAGGCTACTTGATTAGCATGGGAGAGTGGAGACAGTTTTGTTCGGTTTGGCTAAACATGTGGAACTTGGTTTCTTAGGTGTTGAGATATATTGCGCACCTACAGCTGACGCTAGGGATGTGTGGCAAGCATCTATGACCCACATTGCCCTAGAAGGTGGATGCTTTGTTCTGTCGGCAAACCAGTTCTGTAGAAGGAGAGATTACCCGCCCCCTCCCGAGTATGTTTTCTCAGGCACAGAAGAGGACCTGACACCAGATTCTGTTGTGTGCGCTGGGGGCAGTGTCATCATATCACCTTCAGGGGCTGTTCTGGCTGGACCAAATTACGAGGGGGAGGCTCTGATCTCGGCAGATCTTGGTATGTTATGCTTGTTTTGTTTACTATTCATAATTGCTGCTTCAACTTCAACTGCATTACAATGTTTCGCAGCAACCATGTTTTAGGGGGATGTGTCATGCCTTGCAAGAAACAATGAAAGATACGATAACCATCCAATGACTCTCTTTTCTTTTGCCAAACATAACACATAATGCATCAAAGTCCACTTAGTTTTTCTTCTCTCTCTGTTTCTTGGGCCAGGCACGAAATAAAACCAAGAGGCTATAGTGTGTCTATGTATAATGAAGTCGGGTGCTCTGCATTGTGAAATATACTGTGGTTGAACTCTCAGAATATTTTATTTCTGTTGTGTGTGGAAAGCAAGCTAAAATCGTTGATAGTGGTGAACACAGATTTGGGGGAAATAGCGAGGGCAAAGTTTGATTTTGATGTGGTTGGACACTACTCAAGGCCTGAAGTGCTGAGCTTGACGGTGAGGGACCATCCGACAAACCCAGTTATTTTCACATCAGCATCCTCAAAAATCGAGGACTCTCCCAAACCATGATCGGCATTTTTTTGAACGTCTAAATTTGGGGATTTTCACCCTTGTAATAATGTCGGATGGGTGTTGTAATATTGGACTCAAAACGTGTTTTTATTGTACGTACTTTTGTATGATTGATCAATATATTTAGTAAATAAACAATACTATTCCTTGACAATATATACGATGCATCGTGCACGTTTAGTGCAAAATTTGCTATGAGCATGAAGGAGTCGGAGGAGGAGTGGGGGAGCGAGGCGTAACCGCTCAAAATTTTGCTGCATAAAATGGTGTTTTTTTTTTTTTGGAATATAATATATAGAGCCCCGTATAAATTTGTACGATATAAAGAAATGACTGGATGAAAAAAGGCACCATTTTTTGGCGTTTTGGGTGCTCCGTTGACGGGAACGGAGAGGTCGGAAATGGGAACTGAGAATCAGCCCGAGCGATTACCAGAAGCCAGGAGAGAAGAAAATGCTAACGACTAACGATTCTCTCTTTTCTTTACTGATGACCAGACTTTTTAAGATAAAACAAGTACCTTGTGAAAATTTTCTATCATCAAAATTATTCCGAGAATTATCCAAGTCCCTATGATCAGCAAAGTGGATGCACCTCATCAACTCGAATTACGTTTAGAATGTAAACTCACTCAAACGTTGGGACCAAATTCACGACAGAAAAACATGGATACACAAGTACATACAAGCGCAGGAGGGGGAAAAACATTATTATTGGGGTAAAGATGTGAATTATACAGTCCTACATCACGAGAATGTGCTGTCAGTGTTGACATCCAAACAAAAAGAACGGCAATGGCAATGGAATACAGAGGACGGTGTTCAAACGTTTGAATCCTTGGAAGCATCCAATAATGCTCATCTCTGTCACCCTGTCTGCGCCAGACCCTACTCACTCTTGTTTAAATCTCAGCCACACCCCCCCCCCAACCCATTTTATGTGTTGTCATACCCCAGCCGGAATCTCGTTTCTCTTATTTTGCAGCCCTGGCACCCAACAGCTCTCCATTATTTTCTTCTCCACTCCCCCACCAAAAAAAAAAAAAGAATCCTTTTCATTTTCATGCCATCATTAGTCTCGCTACTCTGAATTAACAAGTTCAAATAGAAATGCTATTTCTCTTCTCCTTCCTCTTCAAACGAGAAACAGATGACCAGAAGCAAAACTGTTGTGTGCTATTGTACTTAATTTAATTAATATATACAGTTTTTTCGCTATATATAACTTGGATGGATGCAAACTATGATGCCAGCGATGATGACCCTTGAACATATTCAGCAAACCAAGAATTAATAATATGGAACAACATTGGTGAAACCTAGGTATTGTGCTGATTATCATCATCTCTTACCGTCCGGATTTTCTACCCGCAGCTTCTCGCATCAAATCTTCTCTCTCTATGACGACAGAATTATCCTCAGATTCGCCAACTGTATCCTGCAAAAACAATGGTTGACCACATCTCTGAGCAGGATTAGCACATGATATTCCATCTCGGAGACCCATCATAGACCTGTAACTCTCAATTTTATCCATGTCATCTCGCGCATGACCTCGTGGAGACAACCCGCTGGATATTTCCTGATCAAGTTCATCAGAAATTTCCTTGATTTCTATACCAAAATCCCTCTTCTTACTACCGGTATTTCCCTTGTTGAAACAAATGCTTGTCCACTGAATTTTCTCGGAGAAAGATTTCCTTCCTATACTTTCTTCTTTGTCCACTGAAATTCCTCCAGAATCGTCTTGAGCGTCATTTCCATAAGTACAACTCCACTTGCAGCTTTTGTTGTCATTGTCCATGTTTAATTCAATGGAATGAAGATCACTGTCAGCAGAGTCATCTCCTTCGTGATCCACTCCATCTCCAACATCCAAATCGTCCTCTTTCCGAGCAGTTTGATATCCCCAATATGTTTTGTTCCAATAAGATTCGAGATCCTTTATGTTTTTGAACCCTGGAGAAACATCATCTTTCCCTTCATCATCCTTAGTTCTCAAAAAGGCCTCAAGCTCGTTTCTCAGCCTTTCAAGGACAGCATTTTTCTCCTCAAATTGATATTTAGCCTCTGAAAGTTTCATTTGGACTCTCTCCTCACGCCAAACATCAGCCAACTGAAGCATCTCTTTCTCCTTTTCCACTTCTTTCCGAACTTTAGCTGACTCCCTTTTGAGTTCTTCTACCTGTGCTCTGTCTTCTCCGATTCCTTTAGCTAGCTCATCACAAATCTGCTCCAGAATCTCCTTTGCCCGTTTCTCCCTTTCAAGCTCCTTCGATGTTTTCAAGTGTGAAGCTTTCACATTAGCCATTTCTTCAGCAATCTTTTTGTTTAACCTTTCAGTTTGCCTTCTTAGCTTCTTCTCCACCTCAAGCTCCTCTGCAACATGTGTTATGGCATCTCGAACTTTTTCACGTTCCCTTCTTTTCCAAGCAGCCCTTTCTTCCGCAAAACGCTTCATGAGGAACTCAATATCATTCTGATTTGAGCTCTGGTCTCGAATCAGTTGATCAATCTGGTTGTAAGCCCGATCAAGTTCACTTCCCAGGGCCAAGATGACGGGTATGCTTGACGAATGCGGCTCTTGGAGGCACATTTGGTTTAAAATCTTCAGAAGCTTCCTAGATGTGGATAGACCACTTCTAGCCTCCTTCAAACGGTTCTTAACACCTGTTGTGCATTTACCACAAGTCTTGTTTCTTGGCTGATTTTCTGCCTACAGTTTAACATAATTCAGCTTCATACTTCTCGACAATCAGAAAATAGAACAGAAAAGCAATTTTATCCCCTTTTTTTTTCAAAATAAATTTACTGATATTAGCTGATATTTGCTAAAATGAACAGACTACTAGAATTTCCAAGCAATACTACAAGGCCGAATATGGAATTACATTCGCACTCAATCAATAAGATTGCATATAGTTTCATCTGCAGTTACTAAATATCATATCAGAACAGTTCAGAATGAAAGAATAACAACTGCTTGAACTTGAACTACGTGAAGTTTAAGTACGATTTTTGAGTAGCTAAGGTTGTGGTTGAAAACGAAGAAAGGCGAGGTGTCATCGAGTTGATCGAAAAATGATCATTTATCAGACAAATTTGAAATTTTGGAGCCAGCTCGTCTAATGTGTCATTATTATTGTCCACCTTCCACTCCTATATCAGTAGAGCAGAGTTAAATAACTGGACGATCATTACGAAAAATATGACTAGTTTATGTTCACATTTTTCTGATATTTATTGTACCTCCTTGAAAGCGGGACTGCTAAGAACATCGAACCCTCCGAAGTAGTGATCACCCGCCTGAAGTTTATTAGACACTCTTTTTTTCAACTTTTGACCTTTAGTCCCGTTCATCTGCGTCAGTCAACCAATTTTACAGCAAGAACAGGAACTTACGTTAGACGCTATAAACCAACATAAAAACAGTCCTCGGATGAAAATGTGATGAGAATTCACCTCTGATTTAGGAGTGTCCAATGGATCTGACACATGAGGCCGCAATAAGTCCGATCTCGATAAGCTCATGGCTTTCTCTCTGCTTCTCATCCCCTTACGTCTACTTACTCGTTCTGTCTCTAGATCCTTGTCGATCTTCGATGAAGATACATCGTTGATTTCCCACAATGCAGCAGCGAGTTTTCTCGCCGACACAGAGAATTCATTATCTTCGGCGGTGAAGCCAGAAGGAGGAGACAAGGTGTTCGGGAATTTAGCAAGGTGATGGGCGGCAGGAGAAGGGGACGACGTCGAGCGAGTCTTCCACATGGGCACGGGGGTGCTTGAACCTCCTTTCTTGGCAACCAAAATGGCTCGCTTGAATCGGTGTTTTCGTCGGACCAAAGAAGAGGAAGAAGAAGAGGAACAAGCACGCTTCCTGATGTTGTTTTGGTTGTCACGAAGCCCTTTTTCGGAATCCAGCGAGGAGCCAGAGGACATGATGAAGCAAAAAGAGACAGAGCAAAATTCAGGGAGCGGGAATAGTGAATAGGCGAAATTTATGAGACGAATGGAACATAGAGGGGAGGGAAAACAAGTGCACAGAGTTCATGGGGAGCGGCCTAGAATTCAGCAAACAAAAGCGGGCCAATCAAGGCAATAGAGATTATTATGAGAAGCGAAGAAAGTGGGAAAGTGTCGAGAAATGGAAAGATACGTTAGCGTTGGAAAGGAAAGGGAAGGAAGAAGGAAGGAAACTGCAGAATCTAGGGGTGTCAGAGAGAGAGGGGGAGAGGAGAAGAGGGCTGAAGCAGCAGAGGGAAGAGCGGTGAGTGGAAAGTTGAGAGAGATAGTCAGCAAAACACGACGGAGGGCTTAAAAAGCAGAAGGGATGGAGACACGTGAGGGGCAGGTGCGATGATGAAGGAGGGACGTGCATGTTCATCCAAAAGAAGGCCATTTCCAAATTTCCTAATTCCTATTGAGACTTGATTCTGTGAATTGATTCATTTTCACGCAATTCCCTATTATATTAACCCCCCCGGTCAGCTTTCTCTTTCTTTTCCTCCCATCTCTTGCGTAATCTCCTGCCATCCCTCCTCAATCTCTTATTATTATCCCATTACTATATGTTATTATACTACCATGTTTTTACACACCCACACCAACGATAAAATTTATAATTATTAAGCCGCGTTATATATTAATTATTTAAACAGCATTTCATTTTGATCTATTTCGTTTAAATGTTAACGAGAAAAGGTTTTAAAGCGTATTTTATTTGGAAGTATACTCACAAAATGTTGTATGTACTAAATTTTTTAAATCACACAGAGAAGTATGGATTTTAAATGAAAATATGATTAGGAAAAAAAAATTAGAATTAGCGCCGCCTAAGCAAAGCCAGGCCAGCTCTGGCTACGTGGGTGCAGTGAATGATGGATAATCATGGGGGCATCCACTCACGTAATTTGATCAGAGGAAAAGATAATCCCAAGATTGAAGCGATTTTAATTAATTAAAAATTAATTGCGGATTAAGAGAGAAAAGATCCGACCCAGAAAGGCTAGAAGCAGAACATTTTAGAGGGGGGCAAACTAACAAGTACGAAGGGGTAGGTATAATAATTGGATTTGGAGGCTAATCTTCGCCATCAAATCAATCACTGGCCTTCCTTTTAGCACGAGCATGGCCCCAACACAGCCCCTCCCAGTCATCGCTGCACTTTCATTTTGACATTTTCAGCTTCGACAAATGAGAACGTATTGCACTTTCAGACTAATAAAATCACATTTTACTACCCAGAATAATTGTATGCATTTTGCCTTTTTTAATTTAAAAAAAGAACATTTTACTATTAATTAACATATTTTATTTTACACTAGAAATATTGTCTTTTATTAATAAAGAAAGTGCCAAAAAAATCAATATAAAATGCACATGACCCCATTTCCACCTTATTCACCCTCTTCCCAAACATGCTGCGTGGTTTAATCCCCCCACTGCTTCCTCAGAGGCTATTACGCAGGAGTTCTACACTCTGTCAACTGATCAATTATTGTTTATTATGCATCAATTTGTTGGAGTTTGCGAGTGTGTGTGTGTGTATTATCATTATTTTCTAAACTCAGCTCTCTGATACACTGAATTGTATGTATCTGCTGTCTGTCTTCTACGCGACTCGAAACTACTAGTGTGTACCATGCATCGTTCGTGCACTTTGACACTTGTTCAAGTTTCAAAGCGTAATTACACGATTAATAAGAAGATCCTACTACTTTCCAACACAAAAACTCACCCGAAAGTTGCAGCTGACTCGCTAGTTTAATTCAGTGGGTTTTGGTTGGAATCCCATGCACGTTACAAAAATAATTCTCATCAGAATCCACCACATTATTATTTTAATTTCCTCGAAAATTGAAATGGCAATGCCATGTGGTTCTCGTTGTCTTTTTGTTCGTTTCTTGGAGCCAGCCTGCAGCTTTTGGCTATTATATATGGGTCCAATGTACCTCTCCTCAGATACACCCCACACATTACAGCTCGTGTTATTTATTTATTTATTTTTGCCTTCGCCAGATAATGATGCTCAGCCTCCATTATTGGTTCGGCAAAGATGAAATATTTCAATGAATTGACATAAGTTATATACAGGGAGAAAGACAGGAGCGAAATTTCATTATCGAAATTTCAGGTTTTGTTTAAGTGGAGGAGGGTAACCAAGATGACAAACATGGCCGATAAAGCATTTGCCTACGTTGCCTAAGGGAAGCGCGCGCCCACACACACTCATGTGAAAAGCCTTTGCTCGAACTAGGAGTTGCAGAAGCAAAGTGATGTCTTTTTCTTTTGAAAAGAAAAGGTTTGTGTCATAGGCTGCAGCAGTGGAAGTTAACATGAGTACTTTACGATATATTGAGAGAGAGAGAGGAATGTTAAAGGGACAGCATGAGTGGCCGGTTATTACATGCGATACAAGGAAGGAGAAGGCATTACGCAGATTTTCCAACAAAACAAGAAGAGAGAAAAAAGATGGCAGAATAGAGGATCCATTCAATAGATTACGAGGAGGTGATGATGAGAGGTACCAAAGCAAAAGGAACAGAGAGTTTACAGACCACAAAAGGGGAAAATTTAAAAGTAGTCTTCAGTCCTTCCCTTGAAGCCAATTTGCCCAAAAGTGAGGCACAGGAACAGCCCCAGGTGCCACGTGATCAGCCATAGCCTGCTCATAACGAAACACGCATACTTAGATATTACTTTAATCATGAATATTTTATTTATGATGCTTATGTTGGACGCAAGCCTTCGTCGTTGGTCCCATGGTCTAGTGGTCAGGACATTGGACTCTGAATCCAGTAACCCGAGTTCAAATCTCGGTGGGACCTTATAAATTCGGTTTTTAATTTTTTTTTTCTCAAAAAGGTTAGTGTTTCTGACTGAAACAAAAAATTAGGCCTTCTTATATTCTAAGGAATGGGCTTGAAAGTATTACTGTTTTCATACTACAGCCCATGTTTTTTATTCTTCACAACAGGGTAACCCAACAGTCATTTCATTAGTCAGGTTCTCCATCACGCGGCCGATCACATATAAAACTGGTGGATGCGAGATTTTCAATTGGGGACTTTATCATCTTCCAAGGATGATGATTTTCTTTTTACCAAAACAAGGATTACGAGGTTAAAGCCTATCAATATTTCATCTTCCTTTAGGATCAGCTACTCATCGCATGGCCCCTCTTTCTCCACTTTCAAGTCTATCGTTCTTCTTTCTCTATGTTTGTATCGCAAGACTACAATATGAACATTATTGACATATGGACTGTTCTCTATTTACTAAGTTTATTACTAGCCGAGAGATTTTCCAGTATGTTGATGAACCAAGACTGGGTTAGTTGAAGTGCAAAATCAATAAGCATGACAATTAAAATAAATATTAAGAAAGAAATATGGATGAAATGATGTAGACTTACCAGAACTGTGAGGTGAGAGCAGGAGGCGTGGGGAAGTGAGCGAGCTCAGCTCCGATGCTCTCAAAGAAGAGCCCAGTGAGACTCTTCCCATTGATTGCGGGTATGCTTGATGGAGCGAGCCACCCAATCAACCCGAACCCGATCACATTGAAATCCGTCCTCAGCCAGTTCCTCTCGAAGCTTCTCATATCCCAACCAATCAACAAGCCCACGATTTCATTCTTCAGACCCAAATTTTTACTCGCCAGACTAATAAATGCTAAATAATTAAACAATTGCAGGTACTGAAATCAGTAACTTACCATGTAAACCTCCCTCCTGAGGCACCCGCTACTCTCAGAGGATTCCTTGCCTTCACCGGCGAATTCAGAAACCCTGAAACCAAACAAGTCGATTCATATCCGAATACACTAAAGTTGACGATAGAAAAAGCGGCGCATTTTAAAGAGGTGACCTGAGGCGAGGCGTCGGCTGGACAACGGCGATGAGCTGACGAGTCCTACCACTGTCGACGGGGTGCCAAAAGTGGTTGCCATTTTCGCTATGAGATTTTCTTGACCACAATCGCGATACTTTAAAAACTTAAAATGCTTTCAGGCCATCGGTGGTCCAAAATCAATTCTTGCCGCTTCCCCTGTACGTTCTGATTGCGGAGATGAGGATGCTACTCAATGAATTTGTGCCACGTCAGGGTTTCCCCGATAAAGTGGAGCCCACTGTGATATTATCCATTCCCGCTTCATTATGTGGCCTGTGGGCATTTGACATTGGGCTCTCGTTCCCATACCGGGGAATATGGGTCGGTCAAACAGCCCATATGACCATTATATTAGGCGGGCTAGGACTCAAATAAAGACGTGTTTCTTCTTTAGCCCAAAGCATTTTACTTTTTATTTTAAGCTTATGTTTAAACTCAAATTTGAAACGATGTTAAACGACTGCTATTTTCTTTATTATTGATGAATGATCATTTGATTGTGATTGTGTATGTGAATTTCTTATTATTTGATATAGTGGGGGAACATGAATACGTCTTAAATTCAATTTTTTTTTTTGAAATTTTATCTAATGACTTATACTATACTTGCTATGAGGGAAGTGAAGGGAAAGAGAGGGGAAAAAATTTTAGTGAGCCAGATTTAAAAAAATTAAAAAATAGGATTGTACAATTTTAATAAAGAGAAGATGTAAAATAAAATAATAATAAAAATTAATTAAAAAATTTTAATTTCATCTCTTTAATTTTTTAAATCAAATTCGTTAAAAAAAATCATTTTCTCTTCGTTTTCTCCGTACTAAACCGACCCAGTTACACGGACGCAATTATGTGAGAATTAGTAAAAAAGAATTTACAAGTCACGTACCGTCAAGGATTCACAACTATGACAACGTCTTATGCATGCCAAGAATGGCGAAAAACAGAGGAGACAAGTGAAATTGCTACTCAAGTCGGGAAATGTCTGGAGCGGCGGAGGATGACGAGTTGCTGATCCTTTACATCCCCAGTGGACAACTTGACACTCTTCTGCAATCTCATTGGTTTTTGTGAATTTGCAATTCAACAACGATAATGATGACCTCAACCTTTCGTTTCTCTCTCTCTCTTTTCTTTTCTTTTCTTTTTTTCCCACTCCGTGTCCACTTTTATACCCGCAATTCGCTCTTCCAAGTTTCAATCATTTTCGCTCTCGGGAAACACTGATGTGACTCTACATTAGTTCTTTTACACCAACTCTCTAGCCCCTAAATCTTTTCAGCATATTATATGACATGAAGGAAAAACAACATTGATGTAAATACTCTTCTCATTCTAAATATAAGAATTAATAAGGAAAATAATTTAGTTCGCAGTGTAATATTTTAATTCATATTTATATACTCCTCCGGTCCTTATTATAAGACCCAATTTGACTTTTTATTTGGTCCTAATTATAAGATCCAATCCATTTTGTCTCTTATATTTATGCATTTTTTTCCAAAATAATCCTTCTAATAATGATAGTTTTAGCCAATATACTTAATTAGCAAGGATATTTTAGGAATGACAACACTTATTTATTATAAATAACCAACTTAACTTACTTCCTTAATCTCCTCAAATAAATCAATTGGGTCTTATAATTAGGACCGGAGGAGTACTCTTTTAAAAACTAACTTATCTCATCTAGGTCAGTGGTATGAATTAGGAAATATCAGAAGCAAAACAGAGGGGTCCGTCGTTTTGGAGAGCAGGATCCGAAGACCGGCGCGTTGGTTTATTGTCTGAGAGTCAAGTTAACGTCCAATCAGGGCGAGCTCCCAAGTCCATCTCGTCGTTTTCTCCCATACATTCTGTCGTTTGACCCTCTGGTCCAATACGTCCACTTCCCCACGCCCACACGGCTCTTCCCCTGCTTCATGCATCAATCCATCAGCCACATCGCCGTGCAATCTCATTTGCTTTGCGGCGGCCTATCCCATTTTTGAACCCCCCCCCCCTCCCCATTTTTAGTCCCTAACCCTTCTCACACGTATCCTTCCTCCACCCGGACACAACCCATTAAGAACACACTCCATCCTCTTTGATTGTTTTTCAGAGAATTTTAGATTCACTGCTGAGTTTAGATTAGCTAAACCTGAGTCTCAAATACTGTTACTTCTGATACTTAATATAATACTCCTCCTGTCCTTAATATAAGACCCATTTAACTAATTTGATTAGATTAAAGAAGTTAGGTAAGTTAGTTAATTATAAAAAATGTGACATGTTTTTCCTAAAACACCATAATCATCTTTCTTAATACCCCCTCCCTCTTCTACACTTGATTATGATTGAGGGAGTATCTATAGGGGTAATTTAGATAAAATTGATAAATATAAGAAATGGATTTTATATTTAGGACCAAAACCAATTCACCAATTGGGTCCTATATTAAGGATCGGAGGAGTGGCTAATTAACTAATTTGAGTTAATTAATGATTTGTAATAAATATATATTGTCTTTTCTTGTTAATCAAGTGTATTAACTATAACTATTGTTACTATAAGTACTAACTTGAGAAAAAATGAATAAATATAAGAGACAAAGTGAACTGGATCATATATTTAAGATCAAAATAAAAATCAAATTACTTTTTATATTAATGGTGGGAAGTAATATTTTCTAATTTGTAAATGGAATCCGTTAAAAATGTTGCAGAAACTATGATCGTAAAAGAATTTTCCAACTTGGACATCTGCTTGAATGCTTATGTATTCCACGAAGTCATGCCATGTTGTTCATTTTGGCCCCAAAAAAAAAAACTACTCCTTCGGTCCTTAATATAGGACCCAATTGTTGAGTTGTTTTTTATCATAAATATAAAACTTATTTCTCGTATTTATCATTTTTCTCTAAATTACCCCTATGGATATTCCCGAACTATAATCAAGTAAAAAAAAGAAAAGGGGTATTAAAAAAGATGATTATGGTGTTTTAAGAAAAACGTGTCACATTTCTTATAATTAACTAACTTACCTAACTTTCTTAATCTAATCAAATTAGTTAAATGAATCTTATATTAAGGACGGGAGGAGTATATTGTTCATTATTTTGGTCAAAAAAAGGGGACCGTGATATGTTTGATGAGTGCGATGTTTCGCCGTCTCTTGCTCTCGTCAAGGACTTAAGGTAGTCGCGGAAAAAAAGTAGCTGTTCGATTAAAATGTGCTGTAAAGCAATCTTTTCATGTTGGATTGGTGATCTATGTTCATTCCCCCAGCACGTTTTGTTTCAAGTCGTACTACTTGCAATTCCAAGCTATGAGCATCATGTGCAGACATTGAAGACCTTTACCTCCTCTGCTTTTCCTGGATTCTCAATAAACTAACACTGTACAAGATGAAAGAATTCATTACTATACAGTATACTTTACTGTATTGATATTAATTACACTATTCATTCAACTATTTCTTTCTGTTGCGTTAGGACTTTAGAACAGCATAAAACTGCAAAAGAATACAAAAACAAGGATGATGATCATAACTGAAATAATGTCCGTCGCTTTTTCTATCCTCTGTTTCCTTTCTCTCCTCTGTCTCTTCATCCCCAAGAATTTCTCATATCTCCCTTTTGCTTCTTCTTGGGTCACTTTTGTCCTCTCCGCACTTTCCATCGCCCTTTGAAGAATCCCCAGACTCTCCCTTCCAGTCATGCTTTTACCCTCCATATCCTCCACCATCAAGCTCACTCCCCTCACGTGCATCTCCCCTCCGGCCTTCCCACCGCACGTGACCTTTATCGTGCACTGCAAGCACTCCGATGACATCTGATCACGCGCCACCGTCACCGAGTACAGTATCTCCAGGTCCCTCGTCAACCAGTGCCGCTGCACCGAAACCGGCCTCCTGCTCGATAGATTCCCCGATCGCTTCCGGGTTGGGTCGATCAGGATCCAGCTCAAACTCAGGTTGTCCTCCAAGTGCTTCAACCACTCCTCGTCTTTCGGTACGTATTTAACGGGAGTCGGCACAAATTCTTTCGGGTCGAGCAGGTCGACCCACAAAGTCGAGCAGAGGAACCAGCCCGTTTGGGTATCGGTGCGCTGGACTTTGGAGAAGATGGGCGTGTCCTTGTAGTACATATCGACGGCGGAGATTAATTCCGTGGAGGGAGAAGGACGGTACAAATGCTTCTTTGTGGAAGGAAGAGGTTGGAGGGAGGGGAAGGAATCGTAAAAAATGGAACGGTGACCGTTGGGGAAGGCGGAGATGACGTCGCGCACAAGCGGGTCATCGAGAGAGGGCCACGTGGCTGCGCAGATATTCTTCCAGAGATCATCTTCGGCGCAAAGACGTCGTAATTGAGCTGATGCACATGCGGCGGAGGCGAGGGCAGGTCCGTCAAGTCGGGTGAGGATGTGAGTCTGAATGACGTCGGAGTGGATGGTGGAGATGGAAGACCCAGCACCGTCATCGACGGCGGAGATGTCTGCCGCTGAAGCCGGATCCATCACAACGGTAAGAATAGATTTGAATTGCTTCTTACAAGTGAGAACACAGGAAGATGTGATCAAGCCGTGACACCAAGAGGGTCTTGAATGCGAATGGCCTTTTATAGTGCTGAACAAGCCAGGTGCTCCGTCGAGGAGTTAGCAAAATAAATGAGAATTTTTTTTAAAAAAAAAAAGGGGGAGAGAAAAGCCACGTGGAGGAGTCAAGTCAACACGGCCTGTCCCAGCTGAAAACCAAACACTATTCAAAGATCCAAATTCCAAACATTGCTTCCCAACACTTTGCCTTGTTGGGGAACCATCCTAGATATTTCATTTCGGGTAGTACTAGCTTTTATTTCAGAATAAGTAAAAATAAAAAGTCCAACTAAGTAGCAGAATAGAGATCAGGATCTCAAATAATCAGGAAAAGTTTGACCATCATATTTATATATCACATACTCTCACTTTGTTTGTTTATTTACTATTAGTCTATTATTTGTAAACGCTGCGCATGTGTAACATGTACTCATATGTTAGTTCTTAATTACTTGATAACAACACAAGTGCGATTACCGGTCAAGTCATTGTTTATTAAATTGACTTTTATTCTAATTTCAATTTATGAAAAAAAAATTGGGATAAACAATCTTAATCTAAATAAACCTAGAATTAATTACTTTAGGATCTCATCAAAAGCAAGTTGCATAACGAAACTTGTAATTATATGGTATGTATAATGCCAATCAGGAATCTCGGGTGAAAGCTAAGGGCCCAGGCAGAGGCCCATTGACCCAGATAAAAGACAGTTTCTCAGGCAGAGTCGGCTTAAATAACATTTAATTGAAAAGCCAATGCACTCTATAAGAAAAATACTAATAATAATAATAATAAGCCGCCCCCCAACCCCAACTCAAAGGCATGAAGAAGATGACGTGTTCATTTATCTGATCCATTTCGGAGGTGGACTCCAGTTATCCATTGCCTAATCCTTGTAGGTCGTTACATGTTGTGCGGCACATCATTGTTGATTCATTTCATTTAGTGTACGTACAGTTTTTATTCCTTCTTGTCCACCACACGCACACACATCCTATCAATTAATTCGTACTACCTTAGATCCTATTTATAAAAGCTAGTTAACTAATTTGAGAAGTTTAAGGAAAGAAGTTAAGTTAGTTATTTATAATAAATATGTGTTGCCTTTCTTAAAATATCCTTACTAATCAAGTGTATTGGTTAGAACTATTATTATTAGAAGGACTATCTTAGAAAAAAAATATAAATATGAAAAATAAAGTGAATTGGCATCTTATATTTATGATCAAAATAAAAGTCAAACAAGATCTTATAGTAAGGACCGGAGGTAGTATTATTCAAAAACAAAGAGAGAGTTAGCTATTTTTCATCTAGAGAAATTGTCTTGCTTTTTAAGAAAAAATAACTACGCCATTAATAATTAGAATTTAACGTACGAATATAAAAATATCCTAATAAACAGGGATATCATATGAAAAAAAAAAATTAATACGAAAGATAAGAAGAATGACACTTCATATTTAAAATCAACGCAAAACTAGCAAAGGAGTTTTATACTACATTTGGGATAGAATTGGGCATATGCGTTCAGACCTTTTTTTCATCAAGAAAACTGACAAATTTTTGTCACGTTTTTTTTATGCGTATATGATACTACCAGTGTTTAATGTAAGACCTAATTGACTAATTTGAGAAAATTAAAAAAATTAGGTAAGTTAGCTATTTATAATAAATAAATGTTATTTTTTCTAGAATATGCTTAATAATAATGTGTAAAACTATCATTTGATGGAATCTTTAAACATATACAACTATTATAAGGACTACATTAAAAGAATGGATAAATATGAAAAACAAAGTGAATTAAGGTCTTATATCTAAGACCAAATTAAAAGTAAAACTAGCTCTTATATTAATGACCAAAAGTAGTATATATTGAATGGATCATTGTGACAAATGAACACGTGAGTAATAACATAATACAGTGCTAATTAACCACCAAAGAAAAGTAAGTAGCAAATTAGTGAACGGAACTGCATGATTAACAAATTAGGCAAAAAGATAAATCATCGCCTTCATGTCATGGGCACATGAGCCTGAGATTAATCAGAACCAGTTTCAGTGTTCATCATGTCGATAAGCATTACGATGCTCATCAGATCTCAATTGTGTAAATTTAATATGGACATTCAAGATTTAAATTTTTAAATTTTTGTTTTCTGAAAAATGTTGTTTAATATATATAATCCAAAATAAATATAATCTCTTGATTGTAGGTTTTTCAAAAAAATTAATTTTTTATTTAAAAATAATTAGTTCAAAATTTTAGATCTAAACCATTAAAAGTATATTTAAATTGTATAGATTTTACTACAATAACGAGCATCATAATATTTATTATTTTGATGAGTATTGAAACTGGTTTCGACATTAATTACTCTGATCATCTGCCAAATCAAGTACTCCGACTAATCAGTAAACAATCGCTATCTCATAACATTCTAGCTAGATTGCCAACAATATTGAAGAAAATGTCACCTAACATTGATTTGAATTCAAATAAAGATTAATTAAAAAATTATCTTCTTCGATCTTCTACTACATGTCTTCTCTTTTTTCCCCGCAAACTAACACATTTTTAAACTTGAAGAATGGTCATTTTTCTTTTTCGACTAGAGAGCAGTGACAACACGTTATTTGATTGGTTTAGAATTGACCTGAATATTCCATGAACTTTATTAATTTTAAAGTATAATTTATTCTAATAATAGTTTATGGTCTTCATCACCAGACAAATCCATTTAATTTGCATTTTTGTTAATTTTCCATGGCTTCTTCTGGGTGTGCTTTAATTTGATGTGTTTTCGACCCAATGTTTATCCGGATATACGCAACGTTTATGGTCAATAATATAGAAATTGAGGCAAACTCTCTCCATTTAAATCTCTTGTCACTCTTAACAATATGAGGCGGTCATTTAACTAAATGGTTTTTTCTGTATTACTACCTCCAATTCTTAATATAAGATCCTATTTGATTTTTATTTTGGTTCTAAATATAAGAATCCAATCCACTTTGTCTCTCATATTTATACTTTTTTTTTTCCAAAGTAACCCTTCTAACAATGATAGTTCTAGTCAATACACTTGATTAGTAAGGATATTTTAGGAAAGACAACATCTATTTAGGACAAATAACTAACTCAACTTACTTCTTTAATCTCCTCAAATTAATCAACTGGCTCTTATAATTAGAATCGGAAGTAGTACCATGTAAACGGAATTTTAACCATGCACAAGCCTTTATCTGCAACTCACCCATTTTAAACATCAAAATGAATAGTTGGTGGGGGGCGGGGAGACAAATGGGTTTTTTTAAAAAAAAAAATTCAAGTGTTTGTTAATTATTCTCGTATAACTTAATTACTTTAATTTGAAAAATACTTTTTGCTATGGTTAAACAGAAAAATAAACGCAGTTGAATGTGACATTCGTTTGAAAATTAAGATGCACGGAGCAGTTAACAACAGTGTGTATATATATATATATATATAAATGTAGTTATTTATGTTGTTATGAAGTTAATCACTTTTCTCATTTTTTTTATTCAAACATAAAATATTTTTTCTTTTCTTTTTCTTCTCTGTTATATTTATTTTTTTATCCCACGGTACGATGGGAAATTTCTTCGTCATCGACTCGCCGTCTTCACGGACACTTCATATACATTAAATTAACTACTCTTTTTTTAAAAAAAACAAATAAGTAACTCCTTTTTATTCTTATTCTTATCTTCAAACCCACGTCCTCATCTCATTTTGCTCCCAGCCTATTATTAAAAAACACTACACTTTGATTTCTTAACAACTGTCTTCGTCTTAATTAATGAATTAGGTCGTGCTGGGTTTAGTGTGTTCCAAGGAGATCCAAAATTCCACATTAAATTATGAGTTTGCCTTCTAGAACCTCATGCATTAAGTAACAACTACTTTTAATTCTAGAACTCTGCTAGATATGCTTGTCTTTTAGACCTCCGTTTGCACCAAACATTGAATTAACCTTATCAACTCAATTTTAACTAAGATTAGGTCCATAGATAAAAGTTGATTCACAATCAAATTTGCACAAGTCTAATCTAAAGACACTAACTGATAGAGAATCAATTTGCATCCTATAAACTAAGAAGAAGAGGAAGGAAAAAAGAATATTAACCCTTGATGAATAGGTACCTGGAATTGCTTATAAGATCAAAAAGCCTAAACTATATATACCAGACACATAAAATGGTTTGGTGATGACTATAAGAAAATGTCCCGTGGTTGAATGAAGAAATTGAGATATGTATATTTTAGTTTGTCTCCATGCGGAAGATGAACCAAAAATGGAGGCTACCAACTTCACCGATCAAATTCCATGTATTTGCCTTTTCGTTTTCTGATTCGTACAACTCCGTTGATTCCGCTCAATTTTCCCTTCTTTTTTTTTTAAACGCAAACTCAACAGACTTTTATTCCGACCTGGCCGATAAATTAATTTGACAAACTTGAGGTTGAGGAGCGAAAATAATGAAGGATCAAACAAAAAAGACGAAATTAAAGGTTCTGATCATTCCAAATACAGTGATTGTGACCCACAGTGTTCTCAGCTTCCAATAAAATTAATCAGATTCCTAATCAAGAATATAATTGCCTTCTTCTTAGATTTGCACCATCTAATTTGTTGATAGCTAGGCATAGTGTTGTGATGAATAATTATTTGGTGTTTGGGATGGGGAGCTGTATATCGTGGCGTTATTTCTGTTATTTAGTTATAAACGAAATTCTAGATAATTAGTGGCTGTTTTTTATTTAACTTGTTGGTTGTGGTGCTACATCCGATTTTAATATAAGAGCTAATTGACTAATTTGAGTAGATTAAAAAATTAATTAAATTAGTTATCCCTAATATACCCTTATTAACTATATGTATTAGTTATAAAACTAGTATTTGATGAAACATTTAATATGTACAACCATTACAAAGGCTATTTAAAATAAATAAATAAATATAAAAAATAAAATGGATTGAAATTTTATATTTAAGATCAAATTAAAAGTGAAACCAACTCTTATATTAAAAATAAAAAGTAGCATATATATATATATAAAATAAATAGCAAAGGAGCAAAGAAGAGACAGGGAACAAATACAAATTAAATTAAGAAGAAAAATAAATGAAGAAGGTGTATTAATGTAGGGTCAACGTTAAGGGAGAGGCCAGGCGTGTTGGAATATTGGACAGATGGATTAGCTTTGTATTGACTCATAGCGTAATCCTATTCCACTGGGTATGTGAATATTGCTCCAATATTACGTCTATTTCTGACGCGTATCCAGATAGTGTGTCCCTGAAATATCATCACGAGTCCTATCGTTAGTGTCATTCTAATTTGCTTGTTCCCCAAGTGGCAGCTGTTCGATTTCATACTTTTCCTTCAAGGAAACTTCTCAATGTTTTTTTTTCCTTAATTAAAAAAAAAAAGACTCTGGCTTGACCCATTTTCAGTAATTAAAATAAATGTACTAATTGGCAAATTATTTTTACAAAGTGTATCAATAAAAGTAAATATTTGTTGAAGAATAACATCAAAATAACGAGAATCATGATCAGAAACATACAACTAAAGATTGAATGCAGCTAAAAGTGAAGCATAGGTGAACATTAACATCATATAACTACATTTTAATTTGATTCGTTACAACTTGAGGGGTGTTTGGATGGAAACAAGACTATGGTTTTAAAAATGATTTTACGATATACAAAGTAAAAATATAAAAAAACTTGTCTCGATTAACGAAAAAGTGTTTTTGCAAGGCATTTTTATAGCTTCCCAAATACTCCCTTAGTCATAAATTTTGACTTACTGCAATTGAGTTATAATCATGTCAAAATTATAAGTCTAAAAGATTAATTATTTTCTTATTTTTATTGGTTTTTTTTCCTCCTCAGCTATTAAATCTATTGACTCGTGATGTGGTCCTTCGAATTAGAATTAGATTTAAAAAAAAAAAAACCTCCAACTACATAATAATAAAGTAACTATTTAGAGTGGAAAAATATATGATCACGTGGCATGGGCCAACGTGAATTGAAAAAGTGAAGTCATTTTTTCAAAGAGGCTGATGTTCAAAGTGTGGGCCACGTAAGCCGCCTCAATGGACGCTAGCCTTAATAAACCCATTAATCAAATGCCTACTCGTATATTCACCACACCCTCCTCATCAATATTTAAATATTTATTTTCTGCTTCGAATTAATATATATATTTAAATAGTTACAAGTGTCCTTATCCTGATCGATCCTTCATTTGAGAGCCTATCCATAATGCACTATTGGTTTATATTACGAGTATATATAATTGATCTTAATATGTTGTGCGCATTAGGAATAGCCATTTGTTATTAGTAGTGTTAACATCTGTAATTGGGTAATTTTAGTCCCTTAATTCAGTCAAAAGAAAGGTTCATGATTCATGATCACGTACAGGAAAGAATATATACTCCTCCGGACCTAAATATAAAACCCTTATACACACTAGTATAAAGGTCTTGTATTTAAGACCGAAAGAGTATTAATTATTATATGGCCCTAGCTACCAACTTCTTCATGTTAGTTCAATTAATGTGAACTTGTGTTCATTCCATTTTCCTGTTTGTACAACTGCATGCGTGCTTTCGGGTCAAATAATCATAGCCAACACAACAAAACTTGAAGGCGATTAAATTAACAAACGAATAATAATAATAATGATAATAATGGAGAGCCAAACATGGGATAATATTATACTACTTCCGGTCCTAATTATAAGAACCAGTTGACTAATTTGAGGAGATTAAAGAAGTAAGTTGAGTTAGTTATTTGTCCTGAATAGATGTTGTCTTTCCTAAAATATCTTTACTAATCAAGTGTATTAACTAGAACTATTATTTTTAAAAGGGCTATTTTGGAAAAAAATGTATAAATATGAGAGACAAAGTGGATTGGAGTCTTATATTTAGAACCAAAATAAAAGTCAAATAGGGTCTTATATAAAGGACTGGAGGTAGTATATTATTATTATATATATATATATATATTCGTTGTCTCCCTCCGACAGTGACAGATTCATGATGAGCTTCTTATAAAATTAGATCTCTAATGACTCTGCATGTTTGATTTTATTCTCCATTTGTCTATTAGAACACCCCCCCCCAAAAAAATTCTCATGGTTTCGTTATTGAGAGATGCATTATCATTTTTTAAAAATATTTCTGTTTCTGTTATCCAAGTATCCAACTGAACGGAAAATTCAAATCCTTACCTAATCAAAGATAATGTACGTGCATGATAGCCAGCGATGACTTGGAAAAAATTTCGGACTTGGAGTATCATTCGTTTTTGGCGAAATCTATAAATATATATAGATATATATTATAATTGATCTGTTTCATTCGGTGTTTTTATTGGTTCGAACCTAACGAACAAGCGGAAGCAAGCAGCTAAACATACCAACTCAATAACGGCCATTAATGACATTATTATTGTTATTATTATAATTGTCCCTCTTCTTCTTATTATAATTATTATTAGTATTACGTACCTATATAGGAAAATGTGATCGTGCTGCCGTTGTGTCTGGGCAATCCAAGACGGATTTGGTTGGGTTAGTGCAGACTGAATATTTAAGATTTATTTGAATTTGTATTGACAATGAGAGCATAAGCCTAAAAATTGCCCCAAATACCCATTTACCATGGGTTCAGTAGCAGCAATTACACCCTTTCACCTGAAAAGGAGGGGGTTTGATTTCTCGTCGCGGTGTTTGGAGAGCCATTCTAAAATGAGGGTACCTAAATTAACGTGTGAGGGTATACTGTAGGTTCGTCCTACCCATTATTAATATCACCTAGGAGGAGCTTGGCTTGGATTGAGCCCGAATCCTTATCTAAAATTTTTGTAGCAAAAAAAAAAAAAATTGCCCCCCATATTCCACTTGCATGTAATTTTAAATATACTACATATTTCGTTTTTTCTTTTTGAGCAGCTCATGTATAAATATAAGTGACTATAAGGTATAAGTTTTTTTGGCCAAAAATTATGGGGTTATACATGTTCGTATAGTGAACAAGGCTGGAGAAATTTTTGTTCATGTAAGGAAGCCACAGAATTTACTTGGGAAAAAAAAGTTAGATCAATAATGTTTGGACTTTGATATAACTTTGATCGCAGCTGACTTTTTGCCCCAAAAATCACTGTTTTTTTTTTTTCCCTGATTTTTGGATTTTATCCTTTTTTTTGGGTATATTTTAACCTTATAAAATCAACTTTTCAATATATCAGACAAATAAGTTACTTTCAAACAAATTTTCTTATAAAAATTTATTCAAATATAAATCATATTATATTAATTAATTTTTACCTCAATTTTAGTTTGTCAAAATCAGTTGAGATTAGAGTCGTTTTTGTTTTTGACAAGAAAAAAAACCTCATTTTTATCATTGTCAATCCAAACAAGCCCTATCTTTATGGGCCTACCGTGAGATGTTATTGCCATCTTTTTCAATCTGGGCCTTACAAATTGAAAAAAAAATTACTGAAAAGCCGTACACGTTACCATTCACCTCCACCTACAAGGTTGGGGCTATCAAAATTTGCCATTGATGGGTCTGACCACAATTAAACGCCAGTAAACAAACGCAGACAATTGGCTATTTTGGTAGACGGTCAAATTGCGGTGCCTGGTATGAGAATCTACTTCACACATTAAGATGTACTTCTTGGCAAAGCAACGATCAATACCTGTCTTGAAAGGAACAGTTTCTATCGAATCACAGATAGTGAGATGCAGCCCATCACTTGACTTTCAACCATAACAACGTTTGCTTTGAGCAAATAAAACATGGAGCCACGTTTCCAGGAGTAACACAATCACTTGAAATCTAAAGTATCGATTTTGCCCACCAAAGAAAACTATTTTGACCCACTCAATTTAACAACATATATTGGATAACAGTTAGAGAGACTACAATTTAAATTTGACCCTCTGTTCAAAACCTCTCATTGTTTCACGGCACTCCCATCATTATTGCCCTTATTTACGGCAAAAATGGTCAGGTGCTTAATTATCATATAGGAACAAGTAAACTCATCAAGAGCAAATGGGAATGCAATGGGAAGACCAACAGAACCATAACAGTTCGTTCAGTCTTCAACTTCTCATCATGAAGCATCGGCATAACTCCGGATAATTGTTACTCATCACCCCAGGTTGATGGCCCTCCCATTCCAATTTCAGATATCTGGTGAGATGGCGGCTCCACATTTCGCTTTTTAGAACTCTTGCGCTTGCCCACAGAGGGAACTGTGTCACTCACCAAATTCACATCCTTTAGCCCTTTTTCATTAACTTCTATTTTGCCACCCTGTTCTAGATCATCTGCGTCACTGACGTTAAAAAGATCCACAAATGAAGCTTCTGCATCATCAATAACATCAATATCACTTTGTTTCCTATTCTTTGGTCTCTTCTGTTTCTTACCAACCTTGGCAACATCCTCCTCAAAAGCCACACCCTCTTCTCGGGGCTTGTCATTGTTTCTTAGCTTTTTCTTTACAGACTTGTTCTCTCTGTCATTATCAACAGCGTCAGTAGAACCAGCATTCTTTCCCTCTATGACAGGATTTTTACGTTTCTTATCCTTATTCTGAGCCATATTTTCATCATCAATGACCAAGGCATCCTTCTCGGAGACAACATCAACCGTTTTCTTCCTTTTCTTGCTTGATTTCTTTCCTGTGGTTTCAAAATGAACATCCTCTCCTTCATCAATCTGATGATGTTTCACATCCTTCTTTTCGAAGGTACTTGTATTTTTATCCTTTCCACGTTCAGAACCTGCCAAAAAGTCTCCTCCATCAGCCCTGTCATTGTCCTCCTTCTTGGTATGCTTATCTACTGGTCTGGCATTGAATATCTGCAATTTTGGCAATGCTTTCCTAATCTGCAATATTGTATGCATGGCAGTTCACGTTAGAGCGGAAATTTAAACTTGAATGTGAGAATAACAACAAATGATAAAGAACAATAAAAAGGAATTACCTTTCTTGCTATTTTATCATTGGCAGCAACAGGATTTCCAAGAAGATTGAGATTTCTCAGATTCACCAGGGATTTGAGCACCTGCCATTGTATTACGTGAAAGAGATACATGGTAAAGACTATTTCCAATAATGATCAAAATCAGAAAATACGGAAAACTCCATATCTGCATGTCAGACCTTTAGGTCAGAGTATCTCATGATCACATTATTGCCCAAGTCCAAATTCAGAAGCTTAGAATTATGAGCTAATTCATCTGGAAGACTCTGAAAATCCCAAGAAGCACATAAAATGAGAACTCTTGAGTGAAAAAAAAAAAAACATGAGAAACCCAATTGCTGAATAAACAAAACACAAATTAAAAAGGGATTCCCAGGATAGTCAATTGTGAGTGTAGAAAGGGCAGGAAAGAGAGAGAAAGAGAAACATAAGCCATGTTTACAAACTACCCCAACTCTTTATTTATGGACCTAAGGCATTAACAACCCCTAATGGACTCACCTTGATCTCATTGTGAGCGAGACGGAGCTCCTTCAGATCGACACAAGACACGAGTGAGGAGTCAATAGTCTCAAGCTGGCAATAAGAGAGAGAAAGCTGGAAAACAGAAGTATTGTTATCTTTCAGAAGACAGTGCAGAACCAATCCCTAGAGAAGCTCAATATATTCGAGAGCAATTTACCTTAGTAATAGATTTCACTTTCGCAAGAGCATCCCCAAACTTACGGATAGGATTTTTGGACAGAACTGAAGGTAAAATCAAAGTGATAGAAAGATTAAATTCAAGTCACTAGAGAGTTCAACACTATGCAGAAAACAGACCCCACAAATCATATGGTACGAAGGGGGAGGGAGTGTGTTAACAATAGATTAAGACTAGTTCATATGTCGAAGTGAAAAGAAGAACACCCTATCTTCATGCATATGCGAGGTTAAGCAGCCCAGAATGTAACTTCTATGAAGTCAAAATTACAATATTTTTTCTTTTTAATTTTGTGGTCTTATCCAGATTTTGCACAAAGAAGAAGAACCACAAAATAAGCCATACCAAGAGTGTTCAAGTCTGTGATCTGATCAAGCTTGCAAATGGAGACGATCTCATTATCTACCCAACCCAAAATGAAAAATCAGTTAAAAGATGAAGAAAATAAATTAAAAGAAATCTGCTATCGATGTTAGTTAGTAGAAAATGTTATATTACAAGACTCACCATTCAAAATCACTGCTCTGAGGCCAACAAGCGACCTAACCTGATCCATAGACTTGAGCTTATTTTTGCCCGCATTCAACACCTGGTTGACAAATATGAGTAAACCTTGCCCTTATTTCCTCGTGTAACTCATTAAACTTCATAAGAAAAACTACCACATAGGCAGCTGAGTGCTCGTGAAATTATTTATCGATGGACACAAGAGTGCGCTAACAAACAAATACATGAACAGATACTTAAGAAACCTCATAACACAGGTTAACGTAGCAGCGTGTCAGCATTATCGCAACAAGCTCCAAAAATATCTGTCGGATTCTAAAACTAATTTTAATTAGATTAACACCTAACGTTGCATGTGAAAACGAAAATTTTCCCACAAACTTCATCTGAAAAAGTGTAGTCTTGAGCTTGGGCGTATCGATAACTTGTTCATACGGCTCGTTCAAATAAACACCTTCATCGCAGGTAAAGGAATATTACCGGTGGTTGAGTTCAATGCTCATAAGCAAATTGAAATTCTAGCTAATAAGTATCATAAGGAGAGCCATGACACTTAGTACATGAGACTACAATCACAACCATCCCAAGAAAATAAAAACTTCCACCTTGTCTCTATATGGTAGGTCCATCGTGCACTTACAGTGAGCTTAGTGAGACCTTGAATTCCTTCTAAGCTTTCTAATTTGTTTTCCACGACAGATAACCACTTCAAATTGACGCAAGACCTCAACCCCTGTTGTAGTGCGGGTGAAAACATTAGTCAGAGATGCCCATAGTTCAGCTTAGAAACAAAACAAAACAAGACGGGGAAAACCTCAAGGGAAGTTAGGTTGTTGAGCTTAAGGTCAAGCTTTTCCAAGTTCTTGAAGTCGGCCAAGACCGATACCTACGAATGTCCGATTAAAAAGGAAAACAGCACAACCTTTAGAACAGTTAGGCTCCAAAATCAAAGGGACAAAGAAATCCGAGGGAAGTGCGTAGAGTATTACATCGGAAAGAGCTTTGTGATTGAGGTGAAGAGCGGAAATGGAATTGGGATCGTGGGTATTGTTCTCCTTCAACACCCGCTCGGAGTTCAGGCGAGTCATCGTTTCCGGCACAATCCGATCACTGATTCAACCGCCAAGGTTCTAAAGCCATCGCAAATGAAAGCCCCCGCAATTTTATTTATTCTGGGCCAATGTTTTTTATGGGCCGACGTAAGAACCCTAAAATGTTTCTTCAATGTTATCTGGCTATTTTTATTGGCCCAAAGGTGTCATTTATTTTTTATTTTTCTTCTTTGGGCCAGGATAAAGTTGCGGCCTGGAATAGCGGCCTTCGGCTTCTTTACGGCCGAAACTCAATTTATTTGACACGTCAACGGTTTCCTGGCTTGGTGAGTAATATTAACATTCCAGCAGTAACTTTGCGGCCATTAAATGCTATATGGATGAGTTCAAGAAATTTAAAAACATGAACCTATTAAAATTTGATGCACATTATATGGAGAACATAATTTTATTTTCCCAAAAGTAAGTCTCCTATTTTTTTTTTTTGGTTGCAAGCAGAGACGATTACGAAGTCATAAGAAAGTTAACTACTAGCACTCTAGCAGGCCCAAGAAAGAGGGTAAATAGACACGATCACACAGCGTTTGACTCCACACATTCTGAATTACTCCAAAATCACTTGAAATAATAATAACTCGATTTTTAAAAAAATTATTAATTAATTTTTTGTCTAAAATTCCAATGACTTTCCCAAAAGAAAATATCATATCCACTCCTTCACTCATTATCATCTAGTTAAGCCTTGTTTGGAATTATGATGACAAATACTTATAAACAAACTTCACGTAAATCAAGATTAAATTTATCTTACATATTTATCTTGTGCTCTGTATAGGTCATTCCAAACAGACCTAATCTCGCATTTAGCAGGCTGACCACGTCAAGAGATTAAACCGACGGGAAGAGGAGATATTGTGTGTATCGCCGCTCTACATTCTCTACGAGTTCAACAAATGTTCGGTGGTATAGAGTTTTGGGGTCAATGGAAAAATCTAGCACCAAAGCTCGAACTGAACTAAAAATTGCGCAAAAGAAAAACGGAAATGTGTGAGGAAAACATATCACAGAATACATATAAAGTTGCCATTAAGGTTCAGTAATCAAGAGCAAGAATAGGTGGCCAACAAAGTCGAGTGATGAACATAAGACCCAAAATCATGAATTCTTTAATATATATTGGCCACTTCGCCCATGTTAGAATGCAGCACGCTTAATGAGATGCTCCAATATCCGACAGACATTCTCTCACGAGATGTATTTTTCCTGCTGCTCTTGAAGGAGCCTGGCCGATGATTTAGCATCCAAATATAATGAGCAAACCTCCTCAAGATCCGCCTACAAATTACATAAAATTCAAATCATACTCATTTAGTTGATGATAATGGCATAATAATACATCCAAGAACCTAGTGGAAAAAAAAATCACACAGTTACCTTGCAGATATTGTCTCGACCATTCATTTTGGCTACAATGCTGGCGGGGGATAAAAGCTGAACTGCGTGTCTGTCAAACCAATATAACTTGTAAGTGCCCAAGGAAAATGAAGCATCAAACCTAAGCCTATTCTATTGGATGAGGGTCAGCATTCAGATCGATTTTTAGCAGAACAGCAAGCTAAGGGTGTACCTTAAAGATGTCCTTTGTCCAATTTCCCCAAGGTAAGCTAAACTTTCCTCATCCACACCCAGCTCCTCTACTTGAGCACGGATAGCTAGAATCTGTCTCAAAAGTAAGGAGCATATACGTTAGTGAAACTCTAGATTCTACCAGACTTTCAAACATTAGAGGTTTGTCCTTGAAACAGAAGCAGCCTATTTAAATGCAAAGCAACCTGTATCATTTCAGCAGGACCATAGGTTTGTGTCCGAATTATCACCAACCGATCCAAAAGGTCAACAGGTATGCCATGAGGACTAGTCATATCCGTGCCTCTGCATAACAGGGCAGTTCAACATGTCAAGGTCGATAAATTGATTGTGGAGGGATAATGAAAATGCAACCAATCAACACCATAATCTGATCAGATATATACTGTTAGGACTTTTAGGACACAACAACACCTTTAAATTACAATAGTCCATCAATACTCCAAAATGCCCAAAAGCCAAGGAGGGCAGAATATGGAATACTATTCGTGTTTAGCAAAACAAAAATAATTGGCTAGCAATAGAAGCAACAAAGAGAATCATGACATGCTTTATTTAACCACAATAACAAGCAGCTTTATTCCACCATGTGGAGTTAGCTACATGGATTGTATGATACCATTATGCTCTGTTAACAACCAAGTCTTGGGATAAAATGTTAGCCATGAAGTCTCAATAAAATCATGTCTATAATTCAAATCTTGGGTGAACAGCTGATGCCATTCTATCATTTCATTCTGGTTTCTCCAAATTTACCTCTAAACCAATCTTTACAAAAGCAATTGCAAGAGTTTCATACCTTACACTGCATATTCCTCTATTAGTAGCAAAGATTACTATTGGAGATAAGGAACTCTCTAAAGCACGATTCAAATATGAAAAACACTCCATATCTAGCATATGCACCTGCAAAAAACATTTAGAAATCAAATTATTATAAAAAAAATAGGATGACCAGGTGAGAGAGTGAAAAAGTCACCTCATCAATAAATAGAACTCCAGGTACAAGCTCAGCTACTCCTTCATCGATATAACGGTTGACGACCTGTCAGTAATAGAAGCACATTGTAACACAGTCTTTTTAGTTTTTTTTGGCCTGAATCGTAATAAGCAGTCTACTTACATGGTCTATTATTCATTGTTCTCTCTTCCTATGGTTATTCTTCACACAAAAATTGACTACGTGGATATCATTGATTTCAAATCATTGCATATAACATCCAAAAGATTATAAAATTATAAAATATGTCAAGGGAATTTGAAAGCGGTCGACATTTGAGATTTGAAAAAGCAACTAAGAAGCACAAATTGAAGTTTCAACTCCCCCCATACACTTGGATACTGAGAAAACTTAGCATCTGCCAAAAGTTCTGCCTGTACCTTGTTAATTTCTTGTCTCAACTTATCAGTGATTTCAGTTTTCCTGGGTTTCATCATCTGGCCCATTAGAGACAGAATATCCTGGCCACCCTGAGGCCGTGCATTGGCAGCATCCAGATCATGCAGTGTTACATCCTTCAATTAAAAAAATGTAACTTTGATCACAATCAAGAACAAGCAATATATGTAATGTCTCAAAGAATTTACACTAGAATCTGCACCTTTCCGTTTAAATATTTCTTAACAGTTGTTCCAAAAAGTTCTGTGGCACAACTTAAAGTTACCCAAAAAGAGACAGAACTACTAGTTAGAAAACTTAAATCTCCTGAGTACCAGTAGCATAAGAACTTGATAAGGAATAGATCAGACTGAAAATAACAACAGAATTCACAGAAATGAAATGATGAATAATTTAGCTATCTCTCTCGTTCTCTCTCCTCTCTTCCATTCTCTCTCTTTTCTTCTTACCTCTTTCTCTTTACAACCTGGCATATAGAAAGTCTTGAGCCTGATAAAGTTAAAGCGGTTCTCATATAGACTAGTTACACTAAAATTGAATATCTTGAGAGAGATTTATCATTTTGTACAGATGTATTTCTTCAGATGAATTACCTGAACAATCTCCTTCTTTTTGTGAACCTCGCCCTTTGGAAGTGGGACATACTCCTCTGCTTCAAGGTCAAATTCTGTTGCAAAAGCATCACTTCTACCCACCCTTTTCACTGCTCCACTATTTGCTTCAATGTATATAACATCCCCAACAGCCACCTGTACGTAGAGTCGAACATTTTCAATTAAAACCTCAGATTATCTGGGTTCTCAGGTTCATATAATTATAAAATAGCTTCCAAGTAACCTTTTCAAGAGCTTATAACTTCTCTTATACATAAGAAAACAAGATTAAAAACACGAAGCCATAGAAATTGGAAAGCTCACCTTCTCCTTAATCAAGGCATCATATATGGTGGGATCCAACTTCAGTTGCTTGGTTCCTTTTACTGTTTTCAATCCAATGATGACATGACTAATTGCTTTACCATAGCCGCCTGTTAAACTCTCTGATTCTTCAGGTGAGAGCTCCGTTACCTAACAAAGGACTAGCAACACGTAAGGACTTGAAATCAACAATAATCTGAAGATGACAAGAACAGACTATGATACTGTCAACATTTTCAAATCGGCAATCAATGATAATCAACTCACCTCTCCTTCGTATACTTCCTTGTTTTCCTTGATTCGCAAGCCAATAGCCCGTCGGAAATTTTCCATCAGAACCTCTGTCTTCTTGACTTCTGATGAATACACTTCTGATCCAACCATAGGGCAGAATGGAACCTGCATATAAAAATCTAATGAAGCTGGCTCTGATAGGCCTTGCAACTAAGGCCAATAGCGGTAAAAGGACCAGCAAAACAAAATAGAATGCAGCAGTAACAAACTATCATGTGTAATGGAGTACAAGCTGGAAGGGAGATTTGGAGAGAGGAGAGGGCATAGCAGAAGGTTTTAAGAACATATTGCAGTTGGAGTCAGCAGGAAAATTCTGAGAAAATGGTTGGAAGTTTCTAATCTCTCAGACGCTAGAAAACCCCTTGTTTTTGCTCTTTTCTTTCAAGTTTTGGTTTGCTATAAGCTGAATACATTCATTTTGGCTTTGTTTTGAGGATTCCTACCCTTGAATATCATTACCAATAGGCCGGGGAAGTTCCCATCACTATTACAGTTTATTTTTATCAATAAGACGGACAAGAGAAGAATTGATATCAAAACATTATCCTTATGAAAGAATTATATAGCAACCTTGCTCCCAAGCTCCTGACTTATTCCAAGGGCTAGTGCAGTCTTTCCAGTTCCAGGAGGTCCAGCCAGTAAAAGTGCCCGGCCAGCCATCTTCTTTTGCCGAATCATATCAACCACAAGACCTGCTGCTTCTCTTGCCTCTGCCTGTCCCACAAAGCCGGCAGCAAAGGGCAGTGCTCTTCCATTGGCCTACACACACACACACACACACATATAGAGAGAGAGAGAGCGAGCAAGTCATTCACATGGTGTGATAATGGAAGAAGCAACTAATGATATACATATCCGACCAATAAAAAGCCGATGTTAGCCCACGGTAATACATTTGATGCTTCCTAAACCTCCGAGCTTCTCATTATTAGACAAAAAGAGGTTTCCCCCACAGCATTATATACGCGTATAAGAATCACCGCAAAAGGGAACCTCATTTAAACTTTGCAAGGTGCCACTGTTAACTGCGCTAAAGAACCAAATTTGACGAATAACAGAACGAGTATGCAACTCTTGCTTCACATAAAAGCAAAAGTTCAGTTTTGTCCATGGTGAGCTTCTAGCAATAATGAATTTGTAAAGACATTGAAACGCACTGATAGTATAAAATTTAAAGAAATGAAATTTTCCAGAGGTTAAGCACTACCCATTTGGAAAGTGAGAAGACCATTGCCGAGGTTGCGTAGCCATGGAAGTTTGAAAAACAAAATAAACAAAAATTAACAGTAACCAGGCTGCTAAAACCCACTGTCCTAAACGCTCAAGAGCCCGCTGACGATAAGGAAAAGTGGGGCAGCTTCCTTCGTTGGAATGTCAGTGATAAGTATGTTAGAGAGAAAGAAAGAACCTCGAGTCCTAGGCCTTTAATATGTGTATGTGTGGCAACGCGCTGCTTCTTGGTGGTAGATTGAACCTCTTCTATTTTCATCTTCTCCATGAATAACTCTCTTTAGCTATTCAGCTTTGCAGAAACTTCCAGTCAGGTGCTGAACGCTTTACACAGCCTCTGCACTGTTGCTTCCGTCGATTTCTGCGACAGATGGCTGTCGTTCTCGTCGTCACAGGTGGCTGCCGGAGGGAAACCACGGTTTCCACCTCTGTGGCCTGGGGTTTTCGAAAGAGAGAAGAGGAGGCGCGCGCGGGTTTTGGGTCGGGCCGTCGGCACAAGATCAAGGTTGTTTCCGCTCGGTCCTTTTGCTCACCGGTCACACTACTAAGGCAACCTATATTCCTCTTTAGACGGCCAAAAAAAAAAAAAAAAAAAGCAAGTACAAATCATTTTAAAATTATATTATCTAGCTAACTAATTTAGATAAATTAAAAAAATTAGTTAAGTTAGTTATTTATTATAATGTGTGTTGTTTTTTTAAAATATTCTTGTTAATTATATTTATTGGCTAAAACTATCATTATTAAAAGAAATATCTTGAAAATAAATAAATAAATATGAGAGATAAAGTGGATTGAAATCTTATATTTAGAATTAGAATAAAAGTTTAACGAGACTGGAGGTAATATATATGTTTCTAATATTTTATCTAATTAGTATATTTAAAAATATTAAAGAAGTAAAAATATTGTAAAAAAATCTAATAAAATATCGTGGAAGGTGGTCATCTTGTGGTTTATTTGCCTAAGAATTGACCTAGAAGGAAGGATAGTATCCAATGCACGCCATATGTTGCTCTTTATCGTTTAGAGTGTTTGTCTACTCTCATTGCATTCAGCTACTGTGTGGATCAACATGCAGACAACCTATCCAGTGAAATCATCCTAAAGTTTTGATTTACGGAGGATTTAGATTTAAATTTGTAATCAGAACCGGGACAAGGAGCGAAGGCCTTCAGGACTTATTGGAGATATCAATCACTTACGGGCAATGGCATTTCACTTTCCATCCGCAAGGCTTGTTATCCCAGCAGCAATCTCTTGACTTTTGTGGCAGCCATGTGTTGGGATATTTGTGTACCAGGTTGTTGTTCTCGGGGCAAGTTTATAAAAGACAATGAAGATTTACAATTTGTATTCCCATTAAATAAGCAAGCCTCGAGTGATTGACATACATGTTCTACTGTTTCTCAGCACAGAAATCAGATTCCTCTTCCAAACCGAGCTCTTCACTGTGGTAGACTTCGTGTCGTGTTCATTACTTACGTAGAGGGTCTGCGAGATAACCAGAAGCATTGATTTTTGAGCGAAATTTTACAGTCAGATACTCTTTCCTCTTGAAGCCTTGTTGATCTAATTTAATTTGTGTTTTATTTTGGTCTGTCTTTGGCGCTCGGAAATGGTTTTAAGGGGGTGCATTCGGCAAACTATTTTTCAAAGCTACTTGTTGAGTTAGATAATATTTATACTACTCTTATAATTTATAAATAAGATTTTATAATTAGAACCAAGGTAATATTTACCAGCTGTAATTTAGTCTCATAAAATAAAATGGCTAGTTAATGTTGCAAACTAATATTAAAAAATGTTCATGTTTAGCGTTTGAGAGGATTGTTTGCACCAAAAATAATAATTTGTTTATAGATACATGATGCCGAAATGATTTGTTTGGCACTTTGGCCAACCAATGCATAACTAAATTGATATCAATCTCAATATTGTGTAAAATTGCGTTAAACCTCATCATGAAGACATGAATCTTCTTTCAATTTAATTTATGCATATTAGGCTTTAAACATCGATGATCCCAAACCCAGCAACGTGACAACTGACAAGTGACCACAAGGCAGTAAATCCCGGTTTCACCTAACACTGGCTACACTGGAACTGAGCTTCTTTCTCCGTCTTCCATTCTCCCCTTCTTTTATCTCTCTTCCCAATCCTCTCGTTTTCCTACTGCGACCACCCTTACGACGTATAAACAATATATTTATGTGAGCCTGCTAGATCGCCACCATCATTCGCAGACCCCCCTAACCCTAGATCTCCATAATTATGGCGCCAAGAAAAGCTCGGGAGCCCCACCTGTTCCTGGAGTCCATGTACTCAGTTATTGCACTCCTCTTCCTCCTCGTTACTTGTGTTGAGCTCTGCGACGCTGCCACCGTAGTTGACGTCTACCGCCTGATTCAGTATGATATGTCCGGGGCTCCATTCGGATCTCGACTAGCTAGCCTCAATCACCATGCCGGCTCTCTCCACTTCTCTCCCCATGCTGATCTCTCACGCACTGTGCTCGTCATACCGCTTCGCGAGTTGAACATGACATTTGTCAAAGGTTTCTTTTTTCTTCCTATTTTCGTTTTTGTGCTGACTTGATTGCGCATCAAGTGATTTGTGACGCAATTCTGAAGCATAAGTCAATTATTCTTATGCTAGTTACAGCAGTTTTTTTTTTGCCTCGATAGTTACAGAAGTCTCAGTGAAGCAGCAAAATGACCATGGCGTTATGCAAGACTCCGAATTTTCTCGATTAATGTATGGGTTTGAACGCGTGTATTCATGGGGTCAACGAACCGAACTAAATTTTCATAACACTTGCGCTAAGCTGGAATTAGGGTCTATTCTGTTTTCTTATCAATACAAATCGTTGTATGACAATTTGACACCTTTTCAGATCCATGGCAAGGAGTGGTGGTTCAAATCGTTTCACTTGATTTTACTCCTCTTCACTCGCGCGAAATAATGGATATGCTTCTTCTTGATTTATGAGTAATAAAATTCTGAAGTGTTCAAATAATTAAAGTACTCTTACTAATCTGGAGAAACAAAGGATAATTATTAGAATCCCATCATGAGGTTTTGGAAGTGTTGAGTTACTTGGAAAGTAACAATATTTATGCTTGAGAGGGAGCTATATACCAATAGGAGGCATTAGGTAATGAACAATAAAGAGGCTTTCTAACATATTGTAATGTGACTTGGAGTGCTCATAAGTAGCTTCCATTAAATTTAGTCACGGTGCTTTCGTATGACTGGGAGGCATGAGAAGATATGCTGAGTTTATAAATTGTTAAATTGACAAGTTAGCTTTTGCAATTAACTTACTGATGTCATCCACTCCTGTTGCAGAAATATTAGTTAGCCACATATTATATTACTGTATTATCTTGTGTAGTTCTGTAGCTGAATGCTTAGCTTTTAATGCCTCTTTATCTGTCAAGATTATTATTTGAAGAATGTCATTAGATCTCTCACTCACAAATCTACCAAATGTTAATTTCTTGTGGATCCTACTGGGCAGAATATATCGTTGAAAAGAAGCCACTGGGGGGCTTATTATTTTTGCTGCCTAAGATGTTCAGTATAGAAAATAAAGGTGGCTTGAGAAGTGATCATCAAGATGATGGTAAGGAGCAGCTGAAGAATGTGTTGGCTGAACTTGAACAGATACTAATACACAACAACTTACCTGTGAGTACAGTGATCCAGTTTGTTTTGTACTATTTCCTCTTCTTAATTTTCTATAAAATGCTTTTCCAAGCTTAAATATAAGTTACTTTTAACCATCTCATCGGAAGTAAGAAAAGTTTGTCATCCCATTAAATTGGTCTTAAATTTGAAAATTGTCCATCTTTACTCCTAAGTAATATTGTTAATTTGAAAATCAAGTACTCTTTCTATCCTCTTTAAAGAAGGGCATTTTGGGAGACAAGCATCATATACCTCAAAAACTCATGCGAAGTGAGCCATAGTGAGGACCACAAATTCCTTCTAGAACATGACCTTTATTTAGGACCAGAGGGACTTTAGTTTTCCACTGGGGAGTGGTATACGAATTCCTTTTCATTACAACTGGTTTGATTTTTTTCCACTATCTATTATCCTTTGTTGTTGTTACATGTGTCTACAATATGTTATGTCACCTGTTACCTGGCCAAGCTGTATTCAAGAAGTATCTTCTCGATAGTATGAACTAATGGATTGATTTTTTTTTTTTTTTTTCCCAAAACTGTCCGTGTAAAATCATTGTAAGTGTGTATATTAGATGTTAGATTGTTTCATTATATGCATATCAGATTCATGAGATGTTAGATCTTTCCATTAATACTTCTCATTTTTAAAGTATGTGTTTCTTCCTTTTCATCGGAGGCGGAAATAATGGTTACTACAATTCCTCCCTTGCTGTCACGTTGTCTTTTTGCCTCTTTTACTTTCTTTTTTTGTGTTGTTGACTGAAGTGTAACTTTATGGGGTTGCTACTTGTTACAGTACCCTGTGTATTTTGCTTATGAGGATGACAACATTCATGCTGTGTTAGCTGATATAAAGAAAAATGATGCCACTGGCCAACCTGCTACTGCAACTAATGGCGGGTGAGTATCAATATGTGAATATAGCTTCATTGTTTGAACCAAATCTTGCTAAGTTGCTTGACAGTTGCGTTTTTACATGATTTTTTACTACTTGATTCATTGGTCTCTACGCCCTAGATATGGCACACTGAGTTGCAGTTTTCCCTGTTTGAATCCAATCATGCAAAGTTTATTGGCTGTCAGGTTGAGTTACATCGAGTGTTCTAACTCGTTTAGTTGGTCTCCATGCACCAGATGTGTATGGCATGGTCAATTGCTGATAGTATCATTGCTGCTATATCTTGGTCCTCTTAGTACTATTTGTTACTTTGCTGAATTATGTTCCAATCTATTGATTTTGGATTTGCTTTTTCTCTCTTGTGTCAATGCTGATGTTCTCATTTGTTTCTTTTCACGTGACATTGCAGATACAAGTTTGTTGTTTCAGCTCCGGAGCCAAAGAAAGTCGCATCTCCTACAATTACAAATATTCAGGTTTTTATTCAACCTTTTCAGTGTAGGCGGTGATTCGAACCATTATAAAACATATTGTAATACTACATGGTTAATAATCTTGATCTTGGTTTCTGATGTTTTAGTGTAGAGAGTATTCAAGACCTATAATAGTTTTAGGATCTAAAAAGCTTTCAGAAAAGCTTCTTTGGAATTAAAGATATATATTATTTTGATCTGGCTTGATTGTCGATAGATAGTTAGAGGCGTGATATGTCCCGAAATGCTACTTACTTGTATTGTGTAATATCAAAGGCTCTCTATGCTAATGCTCAAGAATTTTATCTATTTTCCATTTTCCTCTTCTTCTTTTTTGTCTAATATTTCCCTGTGTGAATATTATTGAACCTATTTTACCAACCTCACTCATTTCTACTATTCTGAAGAACTTGAATCACTAGTTTAACCACTATTCTGTATCAATGGTTTGCCTGCAGGGATGGTTGGCGGGAAAGAAGATGGATGATGATGCTAGTCAATTACCCACCATTGCTATAGTGGCATCATATGACACTTTTGGGGCTGCTCCTGTATGTATTTTTTCTTGCTGCACCTTCAAGATCACTTGGTTTGTATTTATGTATGTGTTGCAATTTGCAAATATAACTGTAGGCATTGTCAGTGGGAAGTGATAGTAATGGAAGTGGTGTTGTGGCTCTCCTTGAAGTAGCTAGGTTGTTTTCTCTCCTCTATTCTAATCCAAAGACAAGAGGACATTACAATCTACTCTTTGGACTGACATCTGGTGGGCCATACAACTACAATGGAACTCGTAAGGTGATAGACTTTGTTTGTAAGGTTCACTTTGTGCTGACAGATTGTCACATTTTAGTTAGTCTTTCCTGTTTATTGTCATGTTTTTTGTAACTTTGAATCTGCATGTTCCAGTGGCTTCGCAGCCTTGATCAACGTATGCGTGAAAGCATTGACTATGCTATCTGCTTGAATAGTATTGGCTCATGGGAAAAAGATTTGTGGATTCATGTGTCCAAGCCTCCAGAAAATGTGTATATAAAGCAAATTTTCGAAGTTAGTAAATTTTCACAGCAGAGTAGGTGGCTATACAGAGATGCATTGACTTGCAATTTATGTTTTGATGGTTTTGTTGGTGGATTTTGGTGTAGGATTTTTCTAGCGTGGCAGAAGAGTTGGGCTTCACTGTTAATCTAAAGCACAAGAAAATAAATATTTCAAATCCTCGAGTAAGTGCTACCTTACATATATGTTCAATCGTTAGTTTATAATCGGTTTTATTTATCGGTTTTATTTCACATTTCTTCTGTATTCGATTTCATTATAGATGCGACATTAAACAGTTATTTCCTTAACCCCCCCCCCTCCCTTTTTCCTTCCTTCCGTAATCTCAACAGATTGAACATATGTGCATAGCTGCATATACCTTTGTCTGTCCCAGTTAGCAACTTAGCAAGGTGCCCCACCGGCCGCATGGGGAGGAGGTGGGGTTTGGGGGCCTCTCTCTCACACACACACTCACACTCTCCATGCTTCTTTTTTGTTATCCTTTTTTACTTGGTTCTTGAAAGGAATATGTTAATGACTCATGGTTCATCTACTGTCGCCTGTTACTAATGTCTTGGCCTTTAAAGTTTTCTGCTTGATATCTTGTAGAAGTATTCTCTATTCTGCTACTAGTTTATTCTTTCATTTTCTTCCTTAAGTTGTCTCGAAGTTGGTTATCAAAGCTACTCGCTGTAGGTAGCTTGGGAGCATGAACAGTTTTCTAGGCTGAGAGTTACTGCTGCCACCCTCTCTGAACTCTCCACTGCACCTGAGTTGCTAGAAAGGACGGGGGGCCTTGTTGACAGCAGGTTCATCTTTTGACCTGAAAGCGAGATTATTATTCCTCTTATAGCATTTTTCTGAGAGCTTGATTCTGCAGGCATTTTGCTGATGAAACTGCAGTTGTCAGGAGTGTGAAGTTAATTGCTGAGAGTCTTGCGGTAGGGTTAATTTATTTACATTGCCTAGTGATCACAGGAACATTGTAAGAACAGATTGGCATGTGCATTAATTTTATGTTGTATCATTATGCTGTGAAGCTTCACTGTTTCTTAACCTTTGAAGTAAATCACCAGCTCTTCTTTCTGCAGAGGCATATTTACAGACATCAAGGAAAAAACATTCGGGTATTCGCAGACAACAGTAGTTTGGCTGTAAATCCTTCTTATATTCAATCATGGTTAAATGTGTTGTCACAAACACCTCGGGTGGCACCATTTCTGTCAAAAGATGATTCTTTTGTTGCTGCACTGAAAAAGGTATTGTTGTGATACGTTTGCCTGCTATGTTTTCTAGCCTTTTTACATAATGGGATAGTTTTGCTGGTAGGTTAGTTGAGGGTAAGTTTGCACCAACTTTAGGCTGTCTATGGCTTGGTTTTTGGTTGATTACGGACTGTATGTGCTGTGGGCAATGGGCTAAGCGCTGATAACTAATGTTGTGTAGTGTTTTAGGAGGAATGTCATTTTTCCAAGAAAAAGTTAGTGAAGGGGGCTAAATCCTCAATTCCTTTGAAACTGAGAGTTGACAACAAAGCATCCTGGTTTTATCACTTTTTTCTACTCACCCTAGTGGTATACTTGTTTACAGGAATTAGAAGATCACACTGACCAGGTTGATCTGCAACGAGATGTGCTAGATGGCATGTTCACTTTCTATGATTCAACTAGGGCAATGCTAAATGTATATCAGGTATTTGAAGATACTTTTGATTCATTGTGTCGTACAAGTTGTCTCTTCTTTTTTAAGTGGCTGGAGAGAACTCAATGGATGGATCTTTGTGGATAGAGGACTGGTTTAAATATTTTCAATCATCGTGCACCCTGATTGTTGTGTATGCTTCCTTTTTTTTTTGTGCTCCATTTTCTCAGGTTTTTTACCTGCCCTGCTTTATGTCTAAGTACATGTTATATATGCTTTTAGCTTGGGAAATAATCAAATTATTTAATTTTACAGGTTGCCAGTGTCACATTCGACCTTCTGTTGCTGTTAGTATTGGGTTCATATTTAATTTTGCTCTTCAGTTTCTTGGTCATCACAACTAGGGTATCATCTCTTACCTAACATCACTTTGCAAAATTTTATACACAGCGTTGTTTATGTGTAGTCATTGTTGGTGATGCTGTTAATCAGGGCCTTGACGATCTAATCAGCTTATTTCGACGTCCTCCCTCACGAAAAGTGAAGACCGCATAGTGATCATAGGCCAGATTTTCCATCAAGGTTTGGCCATGTATTGCAATTTCCAGTAGAACTTTAGGATGAGTCTCTAGCGAACTGCATAACGTTGATTGGTTGAGAGGTTGGGAACAGCAAGATGTATGATCTGTGTTCTGCGAAAATGAGGACTCCTAGGCTCAAGTAAAATTTTGATGTTTATTTTGAAAATATTGTTTGCTGCGTTTTGGCAGATCAAGGCATAATTGTAAGTGGGTAAACGATGAAATGAATTTAGCAGCATCGCGTCATTTTAAAGAATGAAACGTCGCTGCAATACCATTGCTATGGTCAGTTCTAGTAGTGAATAAGGCTGGAAAGCATAATATTGTTTTTCATGTTTTAGCGATTGCCACGTCAAAAACCATTAACGCTAACATAGGCGAACTGTTAGAATTGGTTTTTCGGGGGAAAGAAACCGTTAAAGATTTTGTTTGAAGAGCGCCTGGAATTTCCTGTACCTTGATCCTTGTTCAGCAAATTTTGTGATAGTGATTTTAGTTGAATCTCTTGGGATGATCAACTTTGCATTCCCATTGTTGCGGACTGATATCTCTCGGAGCGTTAGGCATGGGTATAACTATTAAAGTATCACTTGTCCAAAACTGCATTCGTCCTCAAAAATTGAATAATTGATTCGCAATAAATCACGTGTCGATATGAAGTTTAGTCTCGCTATAGTAATTAGAGAATATGTAGATCCGAAGATTCCTGAGTTAAGGCTGTTAAATTCATGGAAAGGCAAGAAATCTCTGGCGAACTCCTGCCTTCAGTGACCCTGGTACTTCCGGCAATTGTAGGGAGAACTGATGACCCCTAGCACTCCTTTTTTCGAAAGGGGAAAAAACGTTTTTCACGTGCTTTATTAGACTAAGTAACTTTTATGTCATCTCGCTAGTCACTACCGTACTAGAATATTAAAAAAATGAATACAATTTTTCAAAAAGTTATTTCTACCATAAAAGAAAAAAATATTAAGAGTTTGTTTAGAATGACTGATAAATAACCTTTCATTTATAGAATGAAATAAATATATAGAATGAATTTTGTCTTGACTTGCATACTCAGGGAATTGAATAAAAACAGCTCAAGTTTTCATCCCAACAGTTTCCTATCATGCACCAAATTTCAACCGGAAACGAGTGCACAAACAAGGTAAGATTTAAATCACTAAATTCCTCTTGGCGGTGGCATGGCCGAGTGTTCAGGCAAGGCATGACACTACCAAGTGACTGATGATCGTGCTAGTTGCTAGTGGTTTCTAAATGCACGAGGGATCAACATACATTCTGATTGACTAAAGTTCATTGCCCAAACAACTTGGGTCTCGTCATTTCTTTGTATGAGGCATGTCACCACTACAGTTGATGAGGCCGCTTATTTTGCATTAACAAGTAGCATAGTCGTAAGGCATGTCACCAATAAATTCAACTTATGTATATATACTTCTGTAATTTTTTTTTTTAAAAAAATACAATACGCCACGTCTGTCTCAAAATATGGCGACATTCAGAAAACTAGCAAAGACGCACGCGGACATCAGCAGCTTGTACAACCAATATTACAAATTGAGATACTTTACTGACATTCAAAGGCTTGTACATAATGATTAAAACCTGGCCTAAAAAATAACAGAGCAGATGTGAAGTGCCAAAAACAACGCCTCTAGCAAGTTGATGGTTTAACACCTCTTAAAAGTGATTATTGGTGAGCATTCAGCAGCGCTCTATAGACCATATCAATGAATTGGTTGTCCTAGCAGTAGCGCACAGCACAGTTAGGATACACGAGAATGGACGAGAAGAAAAACGGACAACAATCTACAACATATATAACAGATAGACCGACTCATACAATTTTGCTTGCAAATGGTATTATAGGCAGAATATCGAACAGTAACAAAGCAAGCAGACTAACCTGAACAAGCACTAGAAGCGCATCTCGAACCTTTTCCCTGGTAATCACTGGCCCATAGTTTGAAGGAGGAACGGAAGCAGGAGTAAGAGATGGCGGAGGATTTGGAGGTGGAAATGGTTGTAGCAGGGGAGTACCAAGTGGGCGTTGTATGCTAACAGCAGACTGAAGTGGAGGGGCCGCTGGATTGGATGCAGGCGCAGGAGGGACCATCAGCGTTGAAGAGGAAGGGGGAGGAACAAAAAAGGAAGATGGCTTCACAAGATTTGTGGCTAGGTTGTTGCTACCAGCTTCAGGAGTGTTGTGGAGGGACATTAGAGGTGTAGTTGCTGATAGAGCAGGTATCTGCAAGGTTGGCACAGTGGATGTAGCAGCATTCGTGGGCACAGAAAGAGAAGGAACCGTATGAGAAGATTGGTAAGACTGTCCAGAGATTGGAGCACTAGTCAAATTCCCAACGGTCAAAGCTGTCTGCAACATTGTAGGAGAAAAATCTTATCCTCATCAGAACTAAGTTCCAAAGGTTCACTTTACAATCAGAAACTCTGTTAACACCACAAAGTAGAATGTTTACATATGAGAAAGGCCACAAAACTCACAACACATCTAATGAAATACAGGCTAGAAAAAAGCGAAGATAGATCCATCACAAATTATCAGAAGCAAATAATTTTGTTTCTAAAGTACGTACACTGAAGAAGTTCACAAAGGAAGGATCATCAGGAACATCAACCGGATTGGAAGTAGAAGATGGTGACGGCTCCAGGGGTCCATCCATAACTGCCATAGTTGGTACTGCCTCCAGTTCCTCAAACTCACTGCAAGGAAATAAAAGCAGAGGCTTACTTCTCAAAGTCTAAGACAAGTAAATGTAGACAAGCTGTCAACTGCAGTGATAACCTACCAGACAAGAAAAAAGTAGAGGGGGTTGGAATATGAATGAATGAAATAACAGATCTCATACATTTTTCCCAAAGCTAAGAAATACTCCCACCGGTCCCAAATATAAGGTCCTCTTAACTAATTTGTAGAGTCCAAAAAAAGTAGTTGTTTGTAATTAATTCGTAAAGAACTTGTAACACTATTTCAAAAACAACATGCCCTAGGAAAAATAAACAAGCACCTTCAATAGAACATTAGGGCTACAGTTAATATGGTTACACAATCAGTACCACACGAGAACCTGGATATGATATTCTCAAGAGCATGGATATAAATATGGCATAATGAAAGAATTCTATGGGAAAGAAATAAGGAAAATAGAATACCATGAATTAAATCACATCAACCTTCCTTAAGGATGGATTGTGATAAGGAACAGATAGAATTAAACGAAATGTAAAAGAAAGAATTTTATTAATTTATTACCTCTTTGTCGAAGACAACTTTGACTTTTGAGGCACCTTCGAATAGGCGTTAAGAATCCTGAAAATCAACTGAACAAAACTGAATAATACGGTCGGACAAATGTTGTGACAATACTCAATTAATAATGTTACCAATTCCAAATAATTTGAAGCCCACGGCGACATTGGCATCAAATGCCATCAAACTACAACATCATTTCCTCAAACTTCTTTCTTTCCACGCTATCCCTTTTATTAAATAGTAACTATTCTGAGCACCCAACCCCACCTACCACCCCCCCCCCAAAAAAAAAGGAAGGTATCAAATTTAAATTAAAGTATATTAGTCAGTTGTGCTTTGGTCGAAAAAACATACATCCAATCAGCAAGAGGATGAAGGGAGAGATTATACTTGTTAGATTTGAAAATAGGAACCTCTCAATTAACATGGAAGGTTCACATCCTCACATGTTTCATGACCTAAATATGGGGGCATGGACGTACGAAAGAATAATGAAGACAGACTCAGAAGTAACCCATTGATTATTTATACATCACATTAAAGTGCCTGCAAGATAGCCGGTGCACGCGAAATTGCAAACCCAGTAAGAATAATACCTGTTAAAAAGATTTGCAACCTCTTCACATTCACGTGCATTATAAAACCAGATGCCATTCACTTCTTGAGTAGCATTTCTATAAAGCAGATATGGAATCTGAACTTCATACTCAAAATCTCCAAGCAGATTCTCCACCAAATTTTCTGCTTACGCCAACACAATTATATGCTAGTTCAAACATAGACGAGACTTAATGCAAGATACACAAAAAGGATACTAGAAATTTCCTTTCCCCATGTCTAGCACCAACATGATTATGTGATAAAATTATTGAAGCAAGTCATAGAAGGCATATTTGGCGTTCATATGTTCACTAATTTGCTATACTCACAATATTGAGTGTAAGAAGCCAGCCGTGGAGTGCCAATATCCAATACCTAAGCCCCAATCCTAAAATTTTAAGGCAGAAGCACACCTAATAACTACAAACATATTATATCATATACAAGAAAATACTAAATATACGGTATACTAAATATAAGACAAATCCTTCTGAAAACATTGTTCATGTGCAGGAGAGCTGAGCAAACATCACTGCTGCATTAACTTTAATAGTGAATCTACCGGAAGGAAGACTAGGAAGCAAACCGCAGAGTAGGTGCAGGCCATCCCCACAATCCACTTCTCTTTAAGATAAAGGTTTCATAAATTCATATCAACACTAAGACAAGTCATGAGCCAGGTTGAATTGCCAATAAGCCACGAAAATTTATAATTTTGGATTCTCAAGATTGTAATAGACCAACTGACGGCAGTAAACACAAGGGAGGTGGACTCACTAACCAGTATTGCGACGATTCATCACTATAAACTGAAATCGTGGCTGAGTATTCCTGCAGCAAAATAGAGCAACAAAGTTAGGCTTGATTAACATCAGCAGATAAATAGAAAACAAAGATTAAGAAAATCCAACATAAAAGCCCTGAGCTTCCGAAACATAGAATCATTCGGAACTTATTGATCGTTGAGCCTAAAAACCGTTTGATAAAGGTAACAGACCAGGTATTCAATTTATGTCACACCAATTTTATATCCTCTGTACATGGATTTCTCAACAGATTCCCAACTAACCATTAATCCACTTGCAACACCGTTTTGGACACAGTAATGTAAAAAGAAACTAACCTCTTGACAACGAAAAGAGATCCCTCAACGTCCTTGCGGCTCTGCAAACCAGTCATTCGAAAAGCAGAGAGAGAGGATGAGAAAGCAATCAGAAAAGTGCAAAACAGAAAAATGAAAAGTGGATGAATGGCAAACCCATTGGCTAAGGTCGATGTTGAATTCGTAGAAGGTGACATGAGCGGCGGTGATGAGAATTTCCTCGACGAAGGGATCGATTCGTTGAAGAACAGTAAGGTTGAGATGCCGGGTGCTCTGCTGGTCCAGATTGGGCATGAGCTTGCCGTTCTGAGACATTGTGGATGATCTCTGCAACGCAAACCCTAGAATTTGGGGCAAATGGGAAGCGTAAGGAGACAGGGACGGGCGAGGGGCGACGCAGGCAGGTGAACCAGTTGTTGTCCCTTAATTAAATAGAGAAAAGTTGATACGTAAGGAGCCTTGATATTGGGTTCTTTTCTACTTACGTAAGAATAAAAAATTTGTCATTCTCTTTATCAAAAAAAAAAAATTGTCATTCTAATTTCTAAACCCATCTTAGGATGTTTGATAACCTTTAAAAATATTTTTAAAATTTTTTTTTCATAAAATAAAGTAAACTTCTCTGTATATTTATTTTGTAAATCGTAAAAATATTTTTGAAACCATGATCTAATTTCTACCCAAACACTCGTTTAATAGTATTTAGTTTTTACGTACTAATAATGTAGAATGAATAAAATAGGTAAAATAGATTTTAGTTTATTTGAAATATATAAAGTAATAAATTATTGATATATGCATATATATTCATTTAATACTGCAATACTACCTCCGGTTCTTAATATAAGACCTCGTTTGACTTTTAGTTTGGTCCTAATTATAAGACCTAGGGGTGCACATGGGCATGGGCAGGGCTGGGCAGGGCGGGCTTCGTTGCCCAAAGAGTGATGCCCTGCCCTCATATCATGGGGAAAAAAATTCTATACACACCTAAAAATTACATTTTATAATTCTACATTTTAACACATTAAAATCATCTAAAAATAATTCAAAACAAGTGAAGTCATCCAGAAATCATCCAAAACATATCTTAACAATTATCCAATTAAATAACATCAATAATGCATTTCAAGCAAGACAATCTCAATATTATAACTAAAGCTTTGAAGTTCAAAAGGCATCACTCTCCACAATTTCCACAAAAAAATAGAACACCTGAAAAAATACAAATAAAAGTAATTATAACTTTAACATATTAGAAACAAAACAATTTTAAAAAAATGTACTTCTAAATTCTAAAGAATGAATAGATGCACCTTACCAACTTAGCCAATCACGCTTATAAAATGACCCTTCAACCACCAATAGCCATTCAATTCTCTCCTCCAGATGTAGCAACACCTAGGAAAGAAAATCAAAGAATAATTACATACCAAATTATGAAGTAATATATGGTGAACACTTTACTCTTCAATGAATCCAAAAGGTGTAAAGTTGTTTCAGTCTTGGTATGATTGTTAATTGATTTAAGCTAAGAAATAAAAGCAACATATATATATATACCTTTTAATTATTGAGGCTATATGAATTGAACAAAGATAATCCTGGACAAATTAATTAAAAGGTATACCTCCGCAAAGGTTGAACAAATTAATGAGCTACAATAATACTTTACTATAACAATATAGCAAAATAAGGTGTTCCTTGAAGCCAAGGGGTGATTATTATTGAATTCTCATACCATAATTAATCTCCTTAAAAATTGGTCATATCTTCCGTATTTGGGTCTAATAAAAAGGAATGGCCAAAACAGCAAGGCGTCCAATAGTATCAAAACAAAACACATCAAACTGCTAGCTGCCTAAAGAATAATCCTGATGGGTGATGGCACAAATTAATGTCTATTCATTTTTTGGTCTACCTTTACGAAACCGCTAGCTAAGAAGCAATGTCTTCATTATCAAATTTCCAATCTTATTCATGTTCCCACCATTGCTTATCAGATTATTTAATCAGAGCAACAAACTAATTAAGTAATTAATCAGTGCATCATACATTCATACTTAATTCATTTCTTTGGATCGATTAAGACGACAGCCCAAAAGTATAAGTTAGACGCAGCCATATAAAGTAGTTATTTTAGTAACTTCATGCGAATTAAATTATTGCAGATTCACTTAACTAATATATCAGATAGCCTCAATAACATGCACACCAAACATGAAACACGGATAGAAAATGGGTGGGAGAGACTAACTAACAGAGTTGGAGGCTGCCTTGCTGTGAGTTGCTTCGCTGGTCAGTGCCGCTGCTTCACTGGTCGGTGGTCGCTGCTTCGCTGGTCGGTGGAGGAAGATGAAGTGGAGCTGGTCGGTAGTCGTTGCTTCCGGTAGACCGTGACACAGCGACAGGAAGAGGGAGACTGAGAGACAGAGGGAGAGCGAGAGGGAGACTGAGAGACTGAGAGGGAAGAGCCGAAGAGGGAGATTGGGAGAGGTAGAACTCGACACGGCGACAGGCGAGACTAAGAGAGTGAGACGGAGATTGAGAGCGGGACTTCGTTCGCGAGGGGTTGGCGGCTGCTGCTTGGCTAGGGCTGGTCGACTGGTAAGTGGCGTGCCTGAGCTGAGTGAGCGAGTGTGAGTGTAAGTGGTCGCTGGCTGCCGCTATGATTGGTATTTTGGAAGACAAAAAAATAAAAAAAAATAAAAAGTAATATGTCTCGGGCAGGGCCAAAACGGGCAGGGCAGGGCACCCTGCCCAAAGCCCGGCCCTGCCCGTGATATGCCCTGCCCAAAAGTTTTTTTTTTTTGGGCTTCAATTTTTCGGGCCGGGCTGGGCTTTTTTTTCCCGGGCTTGGGCGGGCGCACCGGGCGGACGGGCATCGTGAACACCCCTAATAAGACCCCAATCCATTTTGTTTCTCATATTTATGCATTTTTCTTAAGATAGTCCTTCTAATAATGATAGTTCTAACCAACACACTTAATTAGCAAGGATATTTTAGGAATGACAACACTTATTTATTACAAATAACTAACTTAACTTACTTCTTTAATCTCCTCAAATTAGTCAAGTGGGTCTTATAATTAGGACCGGAGGTAGTATATTAAAACAAATTCTTCACTCATAAAAAAAATAAAAGAAAGAAACAAATTCTTCAATGAACTTTACTTAAGAAAAAACTAGTATATTAGCATGAGTCATTGAACTTTATTTGCATTTAAGATGCGCTTAGTATGAGGAAAATAAAAGAAAAGAGAGATGAGGATAAATTTTAATGAGCTCAATTTAAAAAAAAAAAATTAAAGAAGTGGGGTAAAAACTTTTAATTAATTTTTATTATTATTTTATATTACTTCTTCTCTTTATTAAAAATTTAAAACCCCACCTCTCTAATTTTTTAAATAGAGCTCGTCCAAATTTTTTCTCCCATTCCCTTTATTTCCCTCATAGCAAATATTACTTTAATGATGAAAATAAGCATGGCCAGATTTTGGCTAATTAAGCTTGTGCTTGTAACGGGATCTATGGTTTGAGTCTAGGCTTGGGCTTGTATACAGGCTTTTTTTTATACTTGAAAAGTCCATCAAGCTTGAATATTTTTTAAAGACCTCATATTTGGGCCTTGAAAGCTATAAGTAGGCTTTGAATCTATTAAAGTGTACATTTGACATCCTTCTAATGTTATATATTTAAAACCTACAACTAACTAATAGGGGTTGGGTCTAACAGAAGAGGTTAGTCTCTCATAACGTGGTGAATCAATATTCGAATCTCTACTGGAAGAGGTGCTCACATTTAGTGCTCGATAGTGTCTCGAATAGGATTTCCTCCAATAGAAGGATACCTATGCTTTAGCAAAAAAAAAAAAACAAGTGTTGGTCTAAGTAGAAGGAACTTGAGCATCTTAAACATCATATCATGAATTTGATTCTTGGGGCAGTACATATGGAAAAAATACTGCTGGGAGGGGTCTCCACTATGACATCGATAGTACCCTAAGAGATTAGTCTCTTACTGTTCGAGTAAGAGGATACTCTGGACAAAAAAAAACCTGCATATGACTAAAAATAAAAATAAAGCCTGATTTTTAATAATTTGTAAAATTTGTTAGATGTGATCACAATGCCAAAAAAATCCCATTAGAATACAATACGACAATAGTGCTAAAACAAAAGAATAAAATACGATAATAAAACAATCAACATACAATAACAACGTATGACATACATGTGTTCATTAAGAAGAACATCTAGGTGCATGTGTGCGTATATTTTGCCAACATACTTGCACATATATATAAATGTATAAAAAAGGAGCAGCAGATTAATAAGAAATTAATTATAAAACTAAGAAGATTGAACATAAGCTAAGAATAAAAGGAAACAACATATCTATACAAATAAAATAAGTCTTAAGTTAAAATATAAATTAAAGTATTATATATATTAAATAATTAATTAAAATATATAATATATTAAACAGGAAAGGCTTGCAGGGTAGATTTCGAAAAAAAAAAACCCAACCTGTTTAAGCAATTAGGCCTTTAAATAGATCTTTAGTCATAAACAGGCCCGCTTTGTCATGTTATTTTCCTAATCAGAAACGTGCGTCAATGCTAAAAAAAAGAAAAAAAAAATCTAAATGGTCCCTTCGAACTTCATTCTCGTGTTCCTTCAGACTACAAACTTAAGCTTCACCTCTCTTTCTCTTCACACCGAAAGCCTGGTCATGCTTTGGTTGATTGCAACGTTGCTTGTTCCCCTCTCTCCCACCTTCGTTAGCCCCTCCGTCTTACTAATGATCGCCAGCCTCCCCCCGTTCCTCAGCACCATCATGTTCCTCAGCACTTCCGTCCTGCTCTTGATCACCAGCCTTACCTCCGTCTTGTTCCTTAACACTCTCAGCACCATGGCCACCATCCTGCTCATCCACATTCTCACCACTCAAGTCACTTGACTCCTCCCCTTCATGAACTCCCTAATAAACCTCAATCCCAACCTAATCCATCCATATTAAAAAAAGAAGAAGTTAAAAAGCAATAATAAAATAAACCAAAGCACCCATATTAATTAAACTTACTATTTCTACGTCTCCAATTCCAGGTTGATCCCCAATTCCTCCACCCCCAGTTGGTTGCAAAGCATGCTTATCGGCAACAGCCCCCTCCTCAATGATGTCACTCAGTTCACTGAACTATTAGTCCTCGGGAACCCAGAAAGCATCAACGCCCACCCATGTAACCATCCATATGTAAGGAAATGAAAAAGAAAAGAAAGAAAAAAATCAAATGCTCACAGGGCAGTCTCAGTAAATCGGTGTCTATAGATTGATTAACCGTTGGATTGGGCCAAAACT